GCGTCCCTCCTGTCCACCCTGTAGGCCACGATTCAGACTCCGATAGCGAGCTGTCCCTGGATGAGCAAAGCAGCTCCTATGCATCCTCGCACTCGTCAGACAGCGAGGATGATGGGGTGGGAGCTGAGGACAAATGGGACTCAGCTCGGGGCCCTGTCCACAGCACCCCCAAAGGTGAGCCAGTGTTGGGCTGTGGAGTGTCTGAGGGCCTGCCTCCCTCCTGGGATGCAGAGCAGTGGCAGCATGGAGGGACAGCAGGTGGGAGGGACAGCAGGTGGGAGGTGCTGGCTGGGGGAGGGACAGCACGTGGGAGGGGTAGCAGGTGGGAGGTGCTGGCTGGGGGGAGGGACAGCAGGTGGGAGGTGCTGGCTGGGGGGAGGGACAGCAGGTGGGAGGTGCTGGCTGGGGGAGGGACAGCAGGTGGGAGGTACTGGCTGGGGGGAGGGACAGCAGGTGGGAGGTGCTGGCTGGGGGAGGGACAGCAGGTGGGAGGGACAGCAGGTGGGAGGTGCTGGCTGGGGGAGGGACAGCAGGTGGGAGGTACTGGCTGGGGGGAGGGACAGCAGGTGGGAGGTGCTGGCTGGGGGAGGGACAGCAGGTGGGAGGGACAGCAGGTGGGAGGTGCTGGCTGGGGGAGGGACAGCAGGTGGGAGGTGCTCGCTGGGGGGAGGCCCCGGCCACAGCATCTGCAGAGCAGAAGCAGGGAGGTCTTGGAGGGTTTCTCTGGGGACCCTCACTTCAAGGACCCCACGAAGCTGGCCCCGATTGCTGCTGGGGGAGCCAGCGTTGAGGCTCGAGGGCGTTGAGGTGGAGTGGGGGGATTGTAGCCTGGGCCCCCACTGTCAGGGTGGAGGGTGGCACCCTGTCAGGCCTGCAGCTCTGGGAGTGGTGGGTCAGGGCCACTAGGAGGCAGGCTCCCCACGGAGGGACACTAGGGAACCTTTTAGGGGGTGCATCTCCAAAAGTAGGGAGTCTCCCTGCTGTTGACGTTGGTCTTGTGCCTCAGTGGATGCTGCTGCCAACCACATGCCCGCCGGCTGGCCCAACGAGAGCCTGGCTGGCAGCGACAGTGAGGAGCCTGGCGACAAGCCGCGCCTGAAGGTGGAGACCAAGGTCAGCGTGGAGCTGCACCTGGATGAGCAGGGCAATCACTGCAGCGAGCGCTCCCCGGAGCAGGAGAGCGGCGGCCCGTTGAGGCCTGCGGACGTGCTCCCCAACCAGCCCCCGGAGCAGAGAAAAGGTGCTTTGGGAGTGGCGAGGGCCGCGCTGTTCCCGGGAAGCTGGGGACCAGAAAACCTCTCAGCGAGGGAGGGGGACAGAGGCGGGGCCATTTGGGGAGGGGGCGGGATCCGGTGGGGCAGAGTGCAGAGGAGGTGGGGGCGGGGTCCAGGAGGGGTGGGGTGGAGTGCAGGTGGGGGCAGGACGGGGTGCAGGCGTGGCGGGGGCGGGTTGCAGGCGGAGCGGGGCGTGGCGGGGGCGTGGCGGGGCGGAGTGTGGCTCAGGGCGCAGGCGGAACGGGGCGTGGCGGGGGCGTGGTGGGGTGGAGTGTGGGCGTGGTGGGGCGGAGTGTGGCTCAGGGCGCAGGCGGAACGGGGCGTGGCGGGGTGCAGGTGGGGGCGAAGGGCGGTACGGGGTGCAGGCGGGGCGGAGACTGGGTGCAGGTGGGTCAGGGTCTCTTTAAGCGGGGGTCGGGGGGCGGCCGGAGGGGGCCCCCCTGCACAGAGGCGACCATTTGGCCCTGGCGCTGAGACCCAAGGAGGGAAGAGCAGGGGCTGAGGGGTCCGCAGGGACTGTTCCTCGAGTCCCTGCATCCGGCAGCGTCAGCCTGACCGTGACTTTATGCGTCTCCCCACCTCCAGGCATCTTGAAAAACAAAGTGACCTACCCGCCGCCACTGACCGAGAAGACTCTGAAGTCCCGGCTCCGGGAGAAGCTGGCCGAGTGCGAGCAGAGCCCCGCGTCGTCGCGCTCGTCCTCCCTGGGCTCGAGCGACGGGGCCCGCGCCCCCGACGGCACCATCACCATCAAGAGCCCACGCCGGGAGCCGGGGCGCGAGCACCTCAATGGGGTGGCCATGAACGTGCGGGCTGGGAGTGCCCAGGCGGCCGGCTCTGACTCCGAGTGAGTAGCCTTGGCCTCGGCTGCAGGCAGCGGGAGCGGCCCCAGCCAGCTCCCCCTTCGCCTCCTGCCCAGGGGACAGGTGTCCAGTCCAGAGAGGGGCGGTGGTCAGGGGCCTGAGCACAGAGGGGCCCAGGGGCTGTGCTGGGGTCCTGTGGAGGGGAGGGGCTTCAGCAGGGTCAGGAGGAGCCCGCCAAAGATGAAGTGGACTTCTGGCCCGGTGGGGGAGGGCTGCCAACATTCACGCCCTTGTGGGGGCTACATTGGCCAAAGCCCTAAAGTCCTGCCCAGTCCTGAAATTCTACGACTTAAGACCATGCAGGACTAAGCACTTTGTAAAGCTCTTGGTCCAGATCATTACTACCCTGTGTTGTGGTTGAGGAAATCGAGGCTCTGGGGTCCCCCTGCTGACTAACAGAGCCGGGGGGGGGGGGGGGAATGGGCCCGTTGGCCTCTCCCGGCGGCTCCTCCCTCCTACGGACTTCTAAGGGAGGAGCAAAGAACGGGAGCCAGGTCTTCTAGAATGGCTCTCTTAAAATTGAGTGAACTCGGTTGCTCAGAGGCAGGGCTGGCTGTGTGGACGCTCAGATGGGCGTGGCCGTCCAGGGGGCCCTGAGTGTCAGGGTGCAGACTCGACCTGCCCCTCTCCTGCCTAGTGTAGCTCTGTCCACACGTGAGCTTGCCCTCCTCCGAGCCCCCTGACTGGGGGATTCTGCCCCCCGCCCGTCCCCTGCGTTGGGGGGTGTCTGCCCCCGCGTGACCTCCAACCCCGCCCAGCTGCTGGCTTCACGCATGGCAGGGGCCGTTCTTGCTGACCTCCGCCTGCCTGACGGCTTCTTCCCACGCACAGAGGCAGTAACGAAACTTCAATCTGAACCATCAGGAAACCGAGACAAGCCCACCGCCTCCAGCCAGGCCTCTGTGCTGCATCGATGCACCCTTGGACCTTGGAGCCCAAGGGTCCGCTGCGCTGTCAGTGAAGGGGCCCTGGTGGTGGGGATCCCTGCAGTGGCAGCCCCATGACTGGTGTGACTGACAGTCCAGACACAAAGCCCCGGGCTACCCCCGGGAGCTCGGGGCCCAGCCGACCCGTGACAAGTGCCAAAGGTCACGGGCTCGAGGATGGGTGGGCTCCCGGGCCGGCTCAGCCGGATGCCGACTGCGGAGGGAGGCAGAGCCGCGGCCGGCAGGGCCAGGAGTGGGCCCGGTACAAGAGCTGGCGGGGCCCCAAACTGCCAGGCCTGGCTTGTCGGGGTTCGGGGTGCTGGGCGTGGGTGGAGGACGGAGGTCCACTGGCCATGCAGGTGCCCCCAGGTGGCACAGGTCCCTGGCCGGTGGCCTTGACGGCCCTTTGCATAAACATCCCTTGTCTTAAAGCAAATTATTTTCTTTTGTTGAAAAGGTGTAGATACTTCTATATATATTTGTATGGGACTCGGAGAAGGTGAAAGCCTGTGTATATTTTGCATTTGTACTATTGATACTGGGAGATCTGTGGGATGATCTCTCACTATTTTTTTTATATAAGGAAGATTGCACAGTTGTACTTGGACCTGGTGTGCGTTGATGCAGCTGGTGTCCCGGCAGATCAGAGTGGGAAGTGCGTGGGGAGCGAGTGGGTCCTCGAACAGAGGTTCCTGCCGCTGGGCCCGGCCAGGAAACAGGGAGCTGTGGGCACCACGCGCAGCCGCCTGAATTCCCAGCGCGCGTTTCTGAGATGTGTGCCCTCCGCTCCCAGCCGCCCGACTGTGGTGGATCGGAGACAGGGCAGCCTGGGACGGGGCGGGACTTGAGGAGCCCCCCCCCCGCCCGCCACTGAGGCTGGTGGAGAACGCAGGTGCCCCACGGCCATGGTGGAGGCGCTGACTGTGACTTAGCGCTGGCCCTTCCCTGGCCGCCCCGCCCCCACCCTGGGCCCACGCTCGGCCTGCGGGGCTTCCCTGGCCACTGGCCCAGTCGGTGTGGTACTGCAGGTGGGGACGTCTTTTGTCCCTCTGCTCCTGTTCCCAGTGGGATTGTACAGTGTTCACACGTTTCCGATCCAGACGGAGGTGTGAGGTCTTCCAGGATGTCACGGTCCTTCCTGCCAAATTTTCCAGCTCTTTTAGACTCTGAGGATCCCCAGGCAGGCCGGGGCCCCACCCCCGAGTCCGACCAATGACTTCATTTTGCTTCAGATGGCCAATTGTGCGGAGGGACAAAGCCACGGCCACGCTTCTCAGTGGTTACCAAGCTGTTTTTTGGAAGTTCGTACTGAGGAGCGGCCGCGCCTGGCCCGCGGTGGGCAGTCGGCGCGGCGTGGCCCCAGGGGCCGTGGCGTGGGGCCAGAATGACTCAGACGCATCTCGTTCCAGTGTTGCCTTTGTTCTTCAAATCAGGCGCCCAAGTACGGGACTAGTACAGCTGCTTCCAAGTTTGAGAAACCATAAAATAGGAAGAAAATCAAGTCAAATGTGAAGATTTCCGCACCGTATTCGGATGGAAATGTGAGCACTGTTAGGGCCACCCGGGGAACAGCAGCTGCGAGGAGTTCTGAGGCCACACACCTCACACGGGAGAGAAGTGAGACCCCGGGTCCGCATGTGGGAACGAATTACAAATGTGCCTTAGTGGGTGAGGGGCCTTCTGAAGACAGAAGAGGGTCTTCAGATGTTTACCCCGACGAGACCTTTTCTAAGTAAAAAAGTTTGAATACCCTAGAGTCAGAAGCCCCCACCTTTGCGTCCTCACTCTTCTGCAGCTGGGTCCTGCCCCTTGGGGTGCGGTTTTCAATCTGATCAGAATTGTTACCAAAAAACAACTGTCCGTTTTATTAAGACAGGAAAATACATTGTAAACCTATTTTTGTGACTTAAGACTTTATGAGAAATGAGACACTGGAGTTTTTTTAACAAACGTCTATTTATTAATGTTCGGAACACTGGAATTACAACACAAGAGAAGAGTCTGCAATAAATTAAGATTTCCGAATTTGTGCTTCTGCTGTGCTGTTCCCCCCGCCCCCCTCCCTGAGGACAGGCCCCGGGGGAAAGGAGCTGTACTGGAACTTTGTGTCCACCCTCCTGATGCAGTCGGGACGAGCAGGCCATTTGGGGTTTCCCGGGATCTTTAGCTCTCACCGTGTGTACAGCACCAGCCCTGGGCCCTTACCTCGGGATCTGGGCACGTGGGGCAGTGGCGGGGCCTGGCAACGGGGGTGCCCATCTGGAAAACGGGGACAAGGGGACACATGTCTTACTCCTCAGCTCCAGCCCCTCCGGCCTGCCCAGGGTCTCCTGAAGCCCTAGAGTTGGCCAGCATGGGGCAGTGGGAGGGGCCAGAGTCCCAGCTCATGAACTTGGCCCCCTGGCGGACAGTTGACGCAATGCACAAAGTGGCCTCGCGCAGTTGGCTGGTGGCCTCGGGCAGGGGGAGGGCAGGCTGTGCCCACCAGAGGGAGGGTGGTGCCGGCGGCTGGAAGGCTGCCATGGGCCCCGCCACAGGTGAAGCCTGGGTGACCCGAGCGGCCGCCGGACCAGCTGGGGGCCTGGCACTGGGCTGGCAGGACGGGCGGCCTGTGCTGGACGCTTCCACCGGGCTGCCCTTCCTCCCTGTTCCTGCTGCCGTTTCCCAGGGTCAGCCTTGCACGGAGCAGGGTGGGCGTTGGGGGGCCTTCGCAGCAGGACAAGAGGCCCAGCCACCAGGGCAGTGAATCGGGAACCCTGAGGCCGGGGAGGCTCCATTCCATGCTGCCCTGTGAGCTGGCCGAACATGGGCGGGGTTCCAGTCCCTCCCTGCCTCCACGGCCAGCCTCGCCAGCCTCCACCGCCTGGCACGACCTGCAGAGTGATGCGGAACAGTGGCCGGCCTCCTAGCCTGGGCAGGGCAGGCTGAGCCCCCACCTCCCAGGGCCTCCTTTATCTGGACCAGCTGCCACGTGGCAGGCCAGAAGGCCCGGCCCTGGATGCTCGGGCCCCCTACCCGCTCCTTCCAGCCCCGGAAGCCCCCTGCCAGGTGGGGAGAAGGCAGACCCAGGCCCTGGCTAGTGTAAGGAGCGGGGATGGGGATCCTGATCGTCACTGAGGGGGACCACGTTCATCCTGCCTCTGGAAAGGGGGGCTGGCAGCTAGTTCTCAGCCCCACACAGTGGCCTGGTCTTAAAGCCCCCAACGGTGCAGCCTGTCACCCCCTACACAGGGTCCCACTAAACCAGCGGTGGGGCCCGGCCCACCTCGTGCCCTTTGCCCCCGGCTGGCGGGGATGGGGTGCAAGGCCGGTCTCGCCGGCAGGCGGCAGGCAGCACACCAGAGCCGAGGCCGGTGCCAAGCGGTGCCAAGCCCCCTTTCTGGCTGCACGGGGGGCGGGGGGGGCCGCTCTGCTCTTCAGAGCACTGCGTGCTGATGCGTGGGGAGATCCGAGGGCAGCAGGACCCCATCTGGACAACAGTCTTAGTCGTCCACCCTCCTCCCGACCCGCTACACGGGCCTTACACTTGTCCGTGCCCGCCACCAAAGCCAACCCCACAGCCCACGTGGCCCCCGTTCCCTCCCACCTGTACCTCAGGGGCCAGAGGGATTTTCTGCTCAAACCACCTGCCTCCCTCCTGTTCAGAAAAAGTCCTCCTCCCACTGTAGTGCTCTGGGGCCGCGGTGCCCGTCACCCCACTTCGGGCTCCTCCCTTGTGGTCTGGGGCCTGTGACCTGCCTCTGGGGGTGGGGAGGGGGCCCCTGGATGCCTGGCACCCAGACCCAGGGCTAGCCCTGTCACCACCAGAGGCCTCGAAGGCTGGGGGCCACGGGACGACTTTCCCAGGTGCTCCTCCAGCAGCACCGTGCCTGGAGGCCTAGGCCACCTCTGGTCTAGAACCTTCCATCCACAGGAGGCAGGGGACATTTCTGGTCCCCACAGAAGCCTGGCTCGAAGCATTAGGAATGCGTTGGGTGTGAGGCTAGTGAGAGAAGCAGCCCGAGCTCTGTCCCCAGCGCCCAGCCCCCACCCTCAGGGCAGGCGAGCCGGAGGCGGTGGGGGCATGCAGACACGGGAGGCCTTCCCCGGAGGGCCAAGTTCCTGCCCGACCCAGACGCCACCCCCCAGCCGCGCAGGCACCGAGGAGAGGAGACAGAGCCCGCGCCTCGGCGTGCTGCCCGCAGCAGGGCCTGGCGGGGCCCTCACCGCGCACGGAGGCGTCACTCAGGGACTCTGCGGGGCCACAGGGTGCCGCCCACGGCACAGCGGGCCCTGACCGCCTGCCCTCTTGCCACAAAAGCCACACGTGCGCACACATCATGCCGGGGGCTCAGCGCCCCCCAACGCTCCTGCGGGGAAACCCTAAATCCCCGATGTGATGGTGTGAACAGAGGAGCTCTTTGGGAGGCACTTGGGTCGTGAGGGTGGAGCCCCGGGGGATGGCACGGTGTGAGGCCCCAGAAAGACCCATCGCCCCTCTGGCCGTTGAGGACATAGCGAGAAGTCGGCCATCGGCGAACCACGGCCGAAGGCACCGGGGGGGCCAGACTTCTGGTGAGTAAGCTGCCCCACAGGGAACACCCGCCGAGCCCCGCCCCACTGGGACGAAGGCCCCTCAGGCCTCCTGGTTTCCCTGTGACCGCAGCCAGGGCACCGGGTGCTCTGCAGGGGGAGGGATGGCCTTCGCGCAGCCGGCCCCCTCACACACCCGCACTGAACCCCTGCGGGCCGGGACTAACTCTCCGACACAGGTGGGGGGAGTGTGAACGGGGCAGCGGGGCTGGCGTCCCTCTGCCCAAGCTGTGCACCGGAGGCCTGCTCCCTCCCCAGGAGAGTCCGGCAGGCTCTGTGTCCCAGACACTCGTTTTATTGGATGCAGGCCCTGCAGCCTCCTCCGCAGTCCGCCTGTGTGCTTGCGGGTGGGAGGCCTTCCCTGGGGCACGAAAGAGCAACTCTGCAAGCGGGGCCCTTGGGACCCACCCACTCGGCAGCAAGTCCTTCTGGCCAGAGCACCAACTTGGAGAAGACAGGGCAGGCCTTTCTGGGGCTCTCCCAGGCTCGGGAGGCTTGCTGGAACCCTGGCCACCTGGATAGAACTGGGGTGGCAGACTCAGCCCAGCTCCCCCGACTGCTCCACCCCAGGCTCTGCTCCTCCCTGTCTGCTCCCGGGCGCTCGGCGGCAGCTCGGCCTCCTTCAGGGCGCGGGGCCCAGCAGTGGGCCATTGCCGGGGCCGTCGCCGGGGCCGTCGCCGGGGCCCTCGGTGGCCACTCTGGACTTGCTCTTGCCCTTCTGGAGTATGTAGGCAGATGGCCCCAAGCGCAGGATTTTCCCGCTGCCCAGACACTCATCCCCTTTGTAGAAAACGGCAAACTAAAAAGGAAAGAGGCCCTGTCACCACAGTGGGCCCGGCGCCAGGTGCCCACCAGCAGCCAGGAGTGGGGGCCCGCAGCTGCTGGGCTGGGGGGACGGGGGTGGGGGGCGGGGGGCCGACAGGGCAGCTGGGCCCTCCCAGAGCCAAGCAGGAGCGGGTACTACTGGTGTGGCTGGGAGGGGCACGCCGGGTGCAGGGGGGCACAGCTTCCACCCTCACTGGCTGTGTGAGCCGCGCACCCACACCCACTCTGCCCCTCAGCCCCCGACCCTGTACACTAGGTGCTCCGGTGGGGAGGAAGCGCGGGCCCTCCTTCCAGAGCACGAAGCCCACTGGCTAGAGCTCCCTCGGCCACACGGGCCCCGGCGAGGGGCAGCTGAGCACATGCCGAAGCCCACCTCGTGCACGAGGCCCGGGCTCCAGGCCACACGCGGACGTGGCGTGAGGCCCGGTCCCCCCTTCCGGCCGGGCTCCCCGCCCCCCTCTGCAGCACGGGGCACTCACCTGTCCCGGGGCCAGGGCCCGCACAGCCTTCACAGCCGTCACCCACACGGTGCCGTCTTGATTGAGGGTCAGCACGCAGGGCACTGGGTGGAAGAGAGGGGTCCTTGGCGGGGGCACTGGCCTTTCCACGTGCGGCCAGCCCCAGGCCTCGCCCCCCGGGGGGCGGAAGGAGCAGCAGGGGCCACAGGCAGAGGGGCTCCGCACCACGGCTGCTGCCAGGCCTGCACCTCCCGGACGCGCCTCCCAGCGCCGGCTCCCAGAGAAGGCGGGCGGAGAGGGGTTGCGAGTATGTTTTGCAACCTCAACAGTGGGGGACGCTCCCGCCCCAAGTCTAATGACTGCTCCTACCCTGGGCCTCCTCTGAAGGGACCCTCCCGCTCAGTCACCTAGCGCCATCTGGTGGCGGAACCGGAAGTGGCACTCCATCATTTTGTCCCGGACCAGGGCGGCGGGCGGCTCCTCCGCGATCCAGTGCACGCGGCTGGTCCGCAGCAGGTCCCTGTACAGAGCCGGGTGGTCTGTCCGGGGGGCCTGCGGGGCGGGACGCGCAGGTCAGGACACAGAAGGCCTCAGCGGAGGGGCCCCCACCCCAAGCTGCACGGCCGTGCTTCATCAGTAGCAACCCCAACAGCAGCTGGCTGCTGGCCACCGTGTCGGCCCCAGAAACACACGGGGCCATCCCACGGCCTCTGCTCCCTGTTCTGCACAGGAGGAAACTGAGGCACAGGAGGGAAAGGGTCTTGTCACGGTCCCCAGCACTCTGCGTGCCGCACCTGCCCGGGCAGGGCCCACCACGCTGCTGGCCTGTCTCAAAAAGGTCACCGCAGGAAGCCCATCAAACACCAGGTGGCCAGGGAAAGAAGGGACAGTGTCGGCTCCCCGGGGCTGTGCTGAGGCCATCTGCCTCTGAGGCCCCTGTCCCCAAGGCCCACACAGGGATACCCACATGGGGACAAATGTCAGGTGATGACCCTCCTGATTTTTCTCAAAGCAAGAGACACCACTGAAATTTTACACAAAAACCACTTTAATTCATGCATGACCACAATCCCTGTCCAGGCTGTGATGCCCATGGCTCTTCTTGGAAGGAGATGTCCCAGAATCAGTAGGCGAGGTGTGCTGGCCGCTCTGCCTGTGTCTAAGAGAGGGTCCTCCAGCTCTGCGAGCGAGCACCCTGCTCTCCTAGGGCAGGGTCTCTCAACCTTGGTATGACTGAGATGGGAGGCCGGGTCGTTCTGTTCGGGGGTGGGAGCTAACCTGTAGGATGTGAGCAGCCCCCCGGCCTCCACCCATCAGATACGTAGGGACACTGCCGAGTGTCCCAACGGGTGGGGGTGGGGAGGCAGGGCAAACTCCCTCCCTTTGGGAAACCCTGCTCCAAGAGCCCAGGGATGGGCTTCAGGGTCACAGGGGTTCAGGTCACTGGCCCACAGACGGCTCTGGTCCCGGCTCGGCTGCTTCCGTCTGTTCAGCAATGGCCTGCTGGAGCCATGGGCCAGCCCTGTCCTAAGCACTGAGGGACCTTCGGCCTCTTGTGTAAAAGCAGAAAAATAGGATCCATTCATAGCCATCAATGTCATGATCACCAGAGTGGCCGACGTACAGTAAGACCCTGGTAAGTACCTTCAACAAAATCCTTCTGGTACCTTGGGGGCCAATCCCAGGAGGACGCAGAGGGAAGGCAAGGATGGTCCATCAATCACTGCTGTTCTGTAGGGCTCCACCAGCCCTGCCTGGTCTCACAGACACTGCTGGCTCTGCCAAAAACAGACCTCCGTCACCTGTCTAAAAGGCCAGCCCGACTCACCACAAACACGTCGCCCTTGGTGCCGTCCTTCTCCACCACATACCAGGGCTCCCGTAAGCCGCCTATCTTGGCTCTCTGGCCCAAAGTATACAGGAACCAACCTACGAAAATAATGGTTTCTCAGGGAGCTGGCACCAGCTCCATCTCAAACACCATCCCCCTCTTAATGGGGAACAGAGCATGGGGAGCAGGGGGCAGCAGTCGGGAGGCCACCGAGGAGTATCCAGAGGGGCTGTGTGCTCCCACCGCGAGCCTCGGCCCTGATCTTGTCTGGGCCAGGTCTGGCTGCACCTCGCACCCTGCCAGGAGCCATGCCAGCTGCCGGGCCACCTAAACCATCAGCTGCAGGGACCACTCTTGCAGACCGTGGACGGGGCGTCTTTCAAAGCCCTAAGCCCCCTCCTGTTGAGCCTCCAGGAGCCCCTCTGACGGACGAACCGCACGGGGGCTGTGGCATCACTTCTCTATGCACCCCCCGACCCCATCCCAGAGGAACAGCCCTAGCACAGAGGGGACAAGCTGAGGGGATCTCATCCTGCTGGAGACAGGCTGGGAGCACCCTACAGGCCTGTCCCCAGCAAGGTTGCCCCCTCCTCCCGTCTCAGAACGCCTGGGGCTTCTCTGCTTGGCTCCCCAGGAGCCCAGGACAGCCCAGTCCAGCTCCCCCAACAGGAAAGAGAAGCCATCTGCACAAACTGGACTGGGGGCTTCCAAAGAACCATCTGTGAGACCATCTATGCCTGAATACCAGCCCTTGTCCCCCCAGCAGGTCAGGCACGTTCTGGGTCAAGACCTACCTGGTCACCAGCCCCCAAGGGCTTCTCCGATGCCCCGAGGGCACAGGCCCACCACTCACCAACCCACCATCTGTCCTCCCACTGCACTGTGAATGTTTGGGCCTGATTTGTCTGTCGCAGCCTCACCACACCAGCCCAGGGCAAGTTCACCCCCCCCAGCAAATATCTGCAAACAATCAAGCAGCACCCCAAGTGCCACACCCCTGCCTTATGGGGACACTCTCTGGTCCTGTTTCTTCTTTGTCCTAGATCTGGAAGCTCACGTTCTGAAATCAATTAGTCATGCTTCTTTCATCAGGTGGACCTTTCTGTGTTCTCATGTTTTCTTTCTCTACGGTGAGATGGTAATTTTATTTGCAGGGACACAGCACTCAGAGATCAAGGTCTTTCTGAATCGGAGGGCATCCCTCTTTATGAGCTTCCAGGCTTCACGGAGACCACGTACAACACTGGCCACTCGCTCGTGCCGCCCGCGACCCCCGCCCACAGGCTTCTCGGACTCACTCGTGGACGCGGAAGGAATTACAAGCTTCTTGTCTGAAACTCGCCCCACAACTCAGGAAGTTTAGGACGAAAAGCAGCCCGAGGTTGTGTCTCACCTTTGTGTGTTCCCAGAACTTTATTGTCTTCTATAGAAATAAATTTACCAGGTCGAGGCTGTAAATACTGAAAAACAAGCATTTCCTTACTAACGGATCCAGGTCCAGAGCAAAAATGTGGCTCCATTCTTTTGCTCAAAGAACACTCACCTGAAGGATGAAATTTTCAAAATTTCTTTTACCAACGAAACAGATGCCCATGCTCTGAAACAAAAGGAAAGCCGACAGTGAGGACAGTGAACAGGCAGGAGGTGTCCGCACGAGAACAAGCCAGTGGCGGGAGGACAGGAGGCTGTGCACCCCGGCCTCCCCGGGCCTCCCCACACTCCCGGGCCGCAGGCCTGGCTTTCCTCAGCCAGCACCCACAGACACCAGCCGCGCCCCACCAACGGACCTCGAGGGGTTTCAGAGCATCTCGAGGGGTCTGCTTCAGGCCCCCAACCCGGGATCTGGTGAGTAAGCAAGGCCACCCCACGTCTACCCCGGCAGGAGAGAGCGCCAGAGCTGCGCGGGCCCTTGGGACCACCGTCGGTGAGCCGCGAGCCGGGAAGGAGAGGAGCTGGGCCAGAAGCCGAGGCATCCGCAGGAGAGTCGGAGGAAGGAGAGGACTCCCTCAAGGTGATCTACTCTAGCTCAGAAGACGCGCTGGAACGCACGCTCCACCACCGTTCCCATCATACGGAGCGCTCACCTGCCCTGCTTGTGTGTCTGAGCTCCCAGCACAGAGCCACACCCAGAAACCGAACAGGTAAACAGAGGGACAGACATGATGGGTGGATGGATGTGAGAAAGGATGTCTTCCTTGGGGACAATCACTTGCTGATAAAAAAGCAAGGTCATGCTCATTCCCGGGAAGACAAAAATGAAGCAGCAGCCTCAGCTGAAGGTGACCCAACCCCTAACGTGGCCCGACCAGACCGAGCCCGCCGGGACCATCCTGTAGCACCAGACCCCCGCCACGCTGGCTTCACCGTCATTCCAACGCCCAGGCTCTTCTTACCTCACAGCCTTTGCACACGTCTTCCCACTATTGGGACAATTTCCCTCCAACCCCCTTTGTGACACTAAATCCTATTCATCCTGAGGCCTTACGTTGGATTAAATGTTAACTCCTCGGAGCCCGTCTTTTTACCGTGGTATGTTTCGTGTCTGTCTCCCCCTCCTGTGACCTCCGTGAAGGCAGGAATGAGGGACCCGTGTGCTCCTCGCCCTATCCTCAGGGGCCAGCAGCACGGCACCCAGTACAGGAAGGCCCTCGACAAGGAGGGGCTAGACGAGTGTGTGAAACGGCAGATCTGCACGCAAGCAGCGACAGAGCCCTGGCTGGGGCGTCTCGGGGCCTGGTCCTTCCTGCCCCGCCCTCCCCTGGCAGGCTGGGCCAAGAGCACCCCAACCAGCTCGCCAGGCTCCTGTGAAAGCTGCTCACCTCAGAGCAGGGCCGAGGAGGGGACAGAGGGAGAAATCGCATCTGAGCGGTTCTCGGTATGTCAACAGCACGTCCTACCGCGTGCGTGAGCTGGGCTCTGTCCTGAGGTTGGCTCCTGGGGAGGAAGTGCCCAAACAGGGCCCCGCTTCCCCGCAGACCATGGCCATGGTGCCGCGAGCGCACCCCCCTCGGTCCTACCTCTTTCTTCTGAAGCACGTGATGGAGTCTATTCTCAGCAGCTATTTTCTTGACAAAATCTTTCGTTAGCCCCCCCAGAGGGAAGAGGGTTCTCCTCAGGGCATCTTGGGAAACCTGGCTGAGAAAGAAGGTCTGGTCTTTAAAGCTGTCAGCTGCTTGAAGAAGTTTTACCGCTGCCAAGAGTAAAGAACAAAAGATGTTGCAGGAGTAAACATAACGGTACTTGGCTCTGAATCACATCCTTCTATTAGATTACCCCTGGTCTGTCAGAAGCAGAAATCAATACTCAGAAGCAGACCACTAGGAAAAACAAACAATCCCCCTGCTTCAGGGGAGGAAAGTTCTCACCCCGAGTTTATTTGCTGGTAAGAACAATTTTACGTGATCAGGAAGCTTATTCCAATTCCCACCGTGGGTCACAGTATTTTACAGACTAAACACCGCACACCCGCTCTGAAGAGGGGACGTGAAAACAAGCCTAAGATACATGCAGCCGAGCGTGAGAAGCTGGACGAGAGGACCCCCAGAGAACCCTGGGACAGGGGGTCAGGGGCTCCCCACGCCCCCCACCTTCCCATGTCCGACTCCAGCCGCAGTGCCTCTCAACTGGTTTCCTTTCTCAGGAAAGCGGGTTTCGTTCAGAGTCACGTGGACCTCTGTCCGACCGCCCCGCGATCTCCCGTATGCCCACCTCCACTGTAAAGAACTTCTGCCTCAGAGGCCACGGTGCACAGGTGTGACTGACCTTGGCCCTGTGACACTGGATCAGAGAAGGCCCAGCTCCAGCGCTGGGCCACATCAGACCTGCCCGGCCCGTGCCAGGACGGCCACGACTGCAAGCACCAGGCTCCCCAATGTCAAGTTCAATGAGCCACGGGAAAGCCATGGGGGCTTTCAGTACTGTGGCTCCTTCCAACATCCCTTGGATGCAGCGCTAGGAGAGGCCACCGCACGGCACCCTCAGAGCGTGCTACGTGTGGAGGGGTCCACACGACACACGTGCGCCTGTCAGCTCGCACCGTTGCGTGTGGAACACGGGCCCTGGGGAGGGAACGCTCGCCACCCGTGACCTCAAACGTGATTCTCACTTTAGCCATAGGAGGTTTCATTACCCCCATTTTACAGACGAGGAAACTAAGGTTGAGATCGTTGAAGAGGCTCCACAGAACAGTGCAGGTGTGGCTTAAGTCCTAGTCCATCCCTTCCTATGTGTAGAGCAATGCGACCAGCCGAGAAATGGAAAATAGCCAGTCATCAGGCAGGCAGACTCGTCTGCCCAAGGCTACTTTTTGTTTCAAAAGGAAGCCCAGTCAAGCAGCACGCATGGAGGCCTCAGGACACAGTTTAAGACAGACTCAAAACCTAGGGCGTCTGGGCGGTTCAGTCGGAGAAGCGTCTGCCTTCAGCTCAGGTCGTGATCTCAGGGTCCTGGGTCGAGCCCCACATCGGGCTCTGCTTCTCTCTCTGCTCCCACTCATGCTCTCTCTCTCTCACTATCTGTTGCTATTTGTCTCTCTCTCTCTCAAATAAATAAAATCTTTAAAAAATACATAAATATAAATAAATAAATAAAACAGACTCAAAATCTTTTTTTTTTTTTTTTTTAAGATTTTATTTATTTGACACAGTTAGCGAGAGCAGGAACACAAGAAAGGGGAGTGGGAAAGGGAGAAGCAGGCTTCCCTCGGAGCAGGGAGCCCGATGTGGGGCTCGATCCCAGGACCCTGGGACCACGACCTGAGCCGAAGGCAGATGCGTAACGACTGAGCCACCAGGTGCCCCAGGAGGCCGGCAATCTTAAACCATGGAAAGGAACACGCTTCAGGGGCTTCATTCACACACTCTCAGAGCTCTGTCCACTGTCAGGCTGGCGCCGCGCCCCCTTCACACGGCTGAGCCTGACTAGGCGGCCAGGCCAGGGCCCAGGAGTGCCGACGAACCCAGGCGGGCTCTGCGCTGCCCCGTGTGCGCTGCCCCGCCTGCCCTCTGCCCAGGGACCCAGGCCCAGGCCAGGAGGCCCTAGTCCAGGTCTCTAGGGCAACTAAATAAGAATTAAATAACAAGCTCTCGTGTGCCTAGAAAACATGCTGAAAACAACGACACTGTTGTATTCCTACCACAACTACACATTCAAATGACTCAACAAGACATCCGTCAATGTGATCAGAGAAGTTTCAGAGCACCTATTGGCCTCGCATAAAGGTCCAGAGAGCTCTGGAAGGCAAACCATTTTCTAGGAGATAAGCATGTCTATTCAATATGGAAATAAATCCTTTAGCCACTCAGGACCCTTAAATCCGTATTTACTTGCATTCTGCCGCGGAGTTCCCAAGTGGCAGGACTCCGCATCCTTCCTGACACGGAGAGGCTTGCCGGCAGAGCGGTGCCAGGGAGTGGGAGAGGCGGCTCCCAGGAGCACCCCGGAGGGAGGCCGAGGAAACCCGTCCTCTCTCCCCGCATCTGTCCCTGAGGCCCTGGCGGCAAGCCCGGCGGCTAGGGGCCCGGCGCCCCACAGGCAGCAGAGGGAGACCTTCCCACCAAGCAAGCACTGTCCTTGTCTGTGCTCAAGGCGGGAAGGTCATCTGAGCGCCCTCTGCTGTGAAAACAGGGGCGGGGACTTGACCTGGGCAGCCGAGCGCCTGCAGCACCCTCGGGGCCCCCGCAGCACAGCAGACGACTGCACGACCAGGCTCGGTGACACGGAGGACAGAACTCGACTGGGGCCTGGCCCAGCAGAAAGGGCACAACTATGGAGCTGGGCCGAACTGGGCTGAGAGCCAGCGCTATGGCCGCATGGAGCCCAGTCAAATGACTCCACGCCTCAGCCCCCTCCCCTGTGAAGTGGGGCGAGCGCATCCAGCTCCACGCCCAGCGGGGCCAAGCGGCACGCGTGCCTGTCATGGCCGTGCTCAGGGGAGAGGGGCAGGGGCCGTGAGGCGGGCGGTCAGCAGGCTGACCCTCCGGCGATCCCACAACAATGGAGATTTCTTGCTCAGACGTGGCTCTGAGCTCCCTTCACAGTGATGTGAGTTCCTCTCTTCTACACACAAAGGTACACCGGACAAGCGAGCAGCTTCCCTGCTGACAGCTGGGCATCTTTCTAGAAAGGGGGAACTTGACTTCCTCTAACGCCGATAAACTGATTTATACCCATCATCTCTGTAAACACGCCTTCCAGCAGGCCTGTCAGGCTCCAGCGACTGGGTCACGCTGAAGTACACACACCTCAGTGTCGGGCCCTCAAGAGCCTGACGGTAAGCGACAGGGCCTGTGAGCCCTCCAACTATCAACAGGTATGTCCCCAATAGCACAAGAACCTTCGAGTCGCTAGCAGAGTGTGAGGAACTGGGTAAGAAATCACAGATGCAGGCTCCAGCCAGGCTCTGCTCCCGATAACTGTCGTTTCCAAGACCAGCCAGCCAGTGTGGAAGACACAGACGCGGCGGCCGCGCTCAGACAAGGACCCGCTGCCACGCTCCAAAGCAGTCTCCTCTGTGCACCCATCCTGAAGGTCTGACCCGGGCGCTCTAACTTACCATTTCTGACTTCAAATCGATTTCTGAAAAGCCCTTCTGGCCTCCTCATGTGCTTCTGCTGAAAGACTTCCTCATCCTCCAGTGAGGTTCTGGCGTAGTGACCCGTGGCAACTGCGTCTGCTCCTGTCAGGTTTTTAAAGACACAACATCAAGCTTCAGACCCGCATGGGTGGCTATGGCCACCTCGGGCCTCGGGAGCTCTCAGAAGCGGGCAGACACCAAGCCTTGTGTGGACGGCCCGCGCCGATGGTCCAGCTCCCTCTCAAATACGGAGGTCCAGGGCATGGAGGCCGCCCCCAACGTTCTGATCAAAAGTGGCCTTGAGCTCTCCATTTACGCGGGTACAACCTCGCTACAAGGTTTCACTGCAGCTTTATGATCCTTTCAAAAGGTAGCATCCATCCCCTCATTCACTCTAGCTTAAGGAAACAGATACGCACACAAAGATTTAAGTGTAAAAAGCTCATTTCAGTGTTTCCTATACTAAGGAAAATTGAGAACACCAAAATGTTCACCACCAGGAGAACATAAAGTTAAAATGCCACTGCCCCAAGAACAGCAACACTTACGAGGAATTTTTCATGATGTTGTTAAGTAGGGAAAAAAATACAGAACACTACGATCCCACTTTTGGGATCGTAGTGTACAGAAAAAGATTTAATGTACAGAAAAAGATTAAGAAAAATATGAGAAAGCCCATTCCTTTGATTCTGGGAAGTGAAATGATAGGTGATATCTCCCTATTTTCCCTCTGCTGTCGTTTTGAACTTTCTCTAATAAACACACATTATTTCCACCGCAGTAAAGGACCATCCAGCATATTCCATTTCTTCTCTCCCCTTTAAGCAAAAAAGCGAAAGAACCTAGGAAGGCACATACAAGTTCATAACCTTTCCCTGCGTGAACATTTCAGATATTCAGTGCTGCAAGAGACCTGTTCCTGGAAGGGGCAGCAAACTGAGTGTGTGCCTCACCCACCAGACTAGCTCAGTGTAAGACAAAAGATGCAACGAGAATTAACTGTTGAGGGCGCCTGGCTGGCTCAGTTGGAGGAGCTTGTGGGTCCTAATCTTGGGGTCACGAGTTCAAGCCCCACGTTGGATGTAGAGGCTTACTTAAAAAAAAAAATGAAATAACAGTTTTACCTATTAAAAAAAACAAAAACAAAAAGGGAAGTTCTAGTAATACTGGTCTGCCATGGAAGCCATCGGCCACAGCTAAAACAAGCAGAAACCACCTCTGCACAGGAGTGGGCGCCCCCGTTTGCCACATGCATTCCCCACCCTGAGGCAAATTCTTACTGGGAAGGTAAAAAAAAAAAGAATTAACTGTTGTATATGAACTACCAGAAAACGCACATTTGGAAACACACTATTGTATCCTGATTGCTTTTCAGAGAGGAAAAAAAAAAACCCTCCTTAAATCTATTTCCTTAAAGAACGACCACTTACACTGCCGAGCATCGAGTCCCTCTGGGAGAAGCCCCAAGATCTCAGAGTCTAGGTTTCACGTACTTTCCCTCTGTGCTGCACTGCTCACGCGGGAATTCAGACGTGGAGACACTCCCTGTACAAACTCCTTCCGAAGCGACCCCGACAGACGGCCACCTAGGGCTGGCTCCCTGAGAAGCTAAGGCAACCGGGAGCCCCACTCTCTCCAGAGGGAGGTGTCACCCCCTCCCACAGAGCTGGCTGCACCCCTCCCAAGTGCGGTCCTTCTCCTGCACAGCCAGGCTCTGCCCTGCGTGGCAGGCACGCAAAGGAGGCCACTCGCCGGGCACAAGGACCCCCGGTAACTGCTCGGCTCATCCGAGGTCCTGTCTCCTAACACCCAAAACCAAAGTCACTGCCCAAGCCATGAGCCTGTCACTCCCTTCCTGAATAAACGGGGGCTAAGTATAAGCCCCCCAGACGTGGCCCCCCAGAGCAGGGCAGGTGCCTTTCCTTCCTGACACCCCCGAACACCAGGTCATGCCAGACCGCAGGCAGCTGGAGCCCCAGATCTGCTCCCCAGCTCGGAGTATGACCTCCCTCGGAGTATGACCTCTACCAATGCTCAGTTCTGGGGTCAGTCATTCAAACGCACCCAGTCTTCTGGAGCCTTCGTCTGGCAGGTGTCAATGTGGCCTGTGACCCAGTGTGTCCCCTCCCCAGCGGCAGGGCCCTTGTGCACGGGGTCTGCAGGCCTCGTGGGGGCCCGCCTCCATTGCTGCGGCAGAGCTGACCGGACAGAGCAGCCGACAGTCCTGGGACGCCACCGGACCACTGGCACAGGACGGTCGCACTAACGTGTCTGGGCACATGGCCAGACGCGGCAGGGTGAGCCGCACGGGACAGAAGCAACGGAAAGGCCAGAATCGGGAACTGCTGCGAGGGCAGGGCATGGGAGTGGCCGCAGCGAGCGAGGCAGTGTCGGGGAGCCCTACCAAGCACAGGGATGCCCCAGCAGGCAGACGGAGAGGAGAGAGGAGAACCAGCAGGACAGACAAAATCTGCAGGCAGCTGTCAGTAGGGAGCAGGGCCTCGACGGGCTTTGAGAACAGACCACTAGGGGCGCCGGGGGTGGGGGGTGCTCAGCCAGTGAAGCGTCTGCCTTCCGCTCAGGTCCTGATCTCAGGGTCCTGGGAATGAGCCCGACATCCGGCTCCTTGCTCGGCAGGAAGCCTGCTTCTCCCTCTTGCTCTGCCCCTCACCCCCACTCGTGCTTTCTCGCTCTCAAATAAAAAAATCTTTAAAAAAAAGAAAAAGAAAAAGAACAGGCCACTAAACCATGGCTTCAGATCCTGGGAAAGAGAGGCCCAGAATCCAGAATCAAGTATAGACCCAGACCTGTTCTCGGGGCAGAGCAGAAAGTCACCTTGGGAAGCAACATAAGACGTCTCACCAGGACTAGCAAAAAGGAGGACTAGCAAGAAACCGAATGCCGACTTTCCTGAGCTCTAAAGAGGGCTCATGAAACTTCCGCTAAATATAACTCTGCCAGGAAATGGAGCTGCTCTGGGCAAAGCTGGATCTGCAGGCAAGCCCTGGTGGCCCCACTTTGGGCTCTCTGCCCGTGACCCCTTTGTTTCCTCAGGACGTTCTGAACTTGGTGCTCCTGAACCCACAGCACGGTCCCCACACCTGGGAGGTCCACGATGAGGAAACACTCCCTCCTCCCTGTGACCCTGTCATTTGCATATTGCCAGAAAATTCTTTCTTACTGAGGAAAATACAGAATATGATCGTTTTCACTACTTCTTTTCCTTCTGAAGATAAAACTGTTCACCAGCATTTGGCTCCTGGCTACCTCTGAAAACCTTATGATTTTTTTTTTTTTTTTTTTTTTTTTTTTTAATTTATTTATTGAGAGAGATAGTGATAGAGAGCATGAGAGGGGGAGAGTCAGAGGGAGAAGCAGACTCCCTGCTGAGCAGGGAGCCCGATGTGGGACTCGATCCCGGGACTCCAGGATCATGACCTGAGCTGAAGGCAGTCGCTTAACCAACTGAGCCACCCAGGCTCCCAAAACCTTATGATTTTAAAAAGATTAAATGGAAATAACAAAATGACTTACCGAGATTATCCACAGCATAATGGAAAAAACAACTGAACTTGATGTGCTTGTTGCAGACTATGTCAGGATTGGGAGTCCTTCCTTTTTCATATTCACTTAAAAAATCACTGGAATAGAAGAAAAAGATTTTCATTCCTAAGTGTGAGACATTCCTCAAAAAAATAAATCCATAGGGGCACCTGGGTGGCTCAGCCAGTTGAGTGTCTAGCTCTGGATTTCAGCTCAGTTCCTGATCTCGGGGTTGTGGGATTGAGCCCCGTGTCCGACTCTGCGCTTGGCACGGAGTCTGCTTGAGATTCTCTCTCTCTCTCTCCCCCTTTGCCCCTCCCCCCACCCAGCTTGAGCTCACGTTCTTTCTCTCAAATAAATAAAATCTTTTTCTTTTTTTAAAGATTTTATTTATTTGGCAGAGAGACACAGTGAGAGAGGGAACACAAGCAGGGGGAGTGGGAGAGGGAGAAGCAGGCTTCTGCGGAGCAGGGAGCCCAATGCGGGGCTCGATCCCAGCACCCTGGGATCATGACCTGAGCTGAAGGCAGACGCTTAATGACTGAGCCACCCAGGCACCCCTCAAATAAATAAAATCTTTAAAAATAAATCGGTTAAATTACTTGAAGTTAGCTTCTCCCCGTCTTACCAGAGCTACAATCTTCTATAAAACGGGGGAGCTTCATTAGACAGCCATGTCAGTGTTTTCAAGCATTAGTGTAAAGCCAACCGCACTTTCCATCTGAATCTCTGATAACGGACAAAGCCGGACAGAAAGCCAGGTACCGCCTGCCATTCCGGCTCCGCAGCCGTTCCGGCTCCCCAGAGGCTCACAGGGTGTGCGGGGAAGGGATGGGATGGACTCACTCAACTCCAGCTTCCCCTAACTCCACCAACAGAGGAAGGCTTGGGTGAAGAACATGCGGGAACCAGAGCAGGAACCCTATGATCCTGAGCCACCATTCTGGGGTTCTATTAGCAATTCCACAGTCCCAGCCTGGGGACCCAGGTCACTGGGCGAATAAATGTACCAGGACTGGTACTGATACTTTTCTAATGTGGCTCCCACACGTCTAAGGACCAGCAACATCCGGAGGTTTTCAGGGCGTCAGGCAGCCTAGCTGACCCAACTCTGTTCTAACGGGCTGGCTGACTGGACACAGGAGAAGGATGGTTAGGCAAGAAGTTCATGGTCTCAGAGTATTCACTTTAGGAGGATTATGATGACTGTTCCAGGAGTTTAAAGTGAGTATTAAAGGGGAGTTTAAAGTATTAAAGTTGGAGAAGCATGCGACTCTCGATCTCGGGGTAATGGGTTTGAGCTTTGAGTGGATGTAGAGATCACTTCAAAATAAAATCTTTAAAAAAGAAAAAAGTTACAGGGTATATTTTGAGTATCTGTGATCATTTTTCATTGCACCTAAAGCTCTACAATGGTTACAAAGAACAACGCTGACCAAGAGGGTCACATTATGAAGGCAGACCAAGAATCGGCACAGGGTCATAGGTCACACATGTATCTTTAAATCCAGCAGGCAATGCCAAACTGTTCCTACCACCTCTTGGTCCTCTCAGGAAGGGAGAACAATTGTGTTACTCCATATTTCAACTTTTTAACTGTTAGAAAATTGTCAAGAGTTTCATTAAACTCTTGCTTTACTCTTTCTGTGTGTCCACAGCCCCCAGAACGTTTTCTATATAACAAGTACTGAATGAATGTTAAAGAGGTTGAACGTTTCCACTGGCTTATGAAAATCATGTCAACCATTTCCCAGACGACTTAATGAAGACAGATCAGTGGCATCAGCAAAAACCACAGAGCACAGCCTGTTCGGTGAGGGGACAAATCCCATCTGCACCCCAGGAGGGAGAGGGCAAGCAGAAAGAACATCTGCACTTTGACCCTTGAAGGCCAAATGGGCCTTGAACAAAAGAATTCAGAAGAAATCTCGGAGCTAGAAAGTGCTATCAGAGCGGCGAGCGTTCAGGGGCTCCTGGGTGGCTCAGTCGGTAAAGTGTCTGCTTTCAGCTCAGGTCATGATCTCAGGGTCCTGGGATCAAGCTCCGCATCGGGCTCCCTGCTCAGTGGGGAGTCTGCTTCTCCCTCTCCCTTTGCCCTTCCCCACACCTCGTGCTCTAAAATAAATAAAATGTTAAAACAAAAACAAAAACAAAACAGGTGAGCGTTCAGAACAAAAAGCACAATCACAACCGTCCCCACAGGCAACCAGGATGAAACTAGGGCAGAGGGCAGACTGGACAGAGCCTGCCTGGCCTCAGTTAAATGTGAGTTAACCTTCAATAGATCATATTCGCTCACACACTTTCCAAACCTAGCAATAAAGGGTGAAGTTTAAATTCGCCTGGATTTCTTGCTATCACCTTAAACCCTGCAGTACTCAAAGGAATTCCCAAAGCAGCTTTCCCCACCCACCCAGATTTGAAGCTATCCCTGACTCCTCTTTCTCCCACTCCTACACCCGTCAGTTACCAAGCCCCACGGCACCGCTTCCAAAGTAAGACCCGGCGGATCCCCCATCAGAATGAATGGACGTGCTTGTCACAGTGCAGGTTCTGGGGCCGACATCCCAGGCCCCATGCAGGTGGGTGTTCAACAAGCACCCTAGCCGACTCTTCAGCCTGACATCTGCTGCCAATGGGCCTGTCCTCTGGGGCCCGCCACAGCCAGTCCTCACCCCCACTCCACACTCCCGTCATCCCCACCCTCTAGCAGCAGCTTCTCCCTAGGTTCTCCACCTCCAATCTTCTCCCATAACTTACCCTACACTTGGCTACCAGATCGCTCTTTTCAATAATACAAATCACAAGAGTTACATTTATTGCCAGGCACAGTGCTGACAGCTTTATCTCAACTCTTTTAATTCTTACAATAATCCCATGAGGCAATATCCTCATTAAAGAGATGAGAAAAAAGGCTTAGAAAGCCAAGTGCATTGCCCAAGGTCATGCAGTAAGTAGCAGGATCAAGACTGGACCCACGGATTTCCTGAGGCTAGCGCCTACCCCACACCTGTGCACATCGCTGCTGCCCGGGGCACCTTCGATGGACACCCACCGTGCAGAGCCTAGGTGGGCTCCCCACACCCCAGAGCAAGCAGCCTTCCTCCACGGTGACAAGAGTCCAGCCAAAGCTGTCAACGCCCCCCCAAAATGATGGGCATTCCTCCTCTTCACCACTGCTCTTGCTACCCTGTTTAGAAAATCTCTACCTCACTATTATTTTCAAGAGCAGATCCAACTTCACCTCTTCCATGAAGCCCTCCTGACTGCTCCATATGACACATTTCTCCCTCCTCTGAACCTGCAGCATTTTAATGAAATCACTAGTACGTCTTACATGCCGCTCACCACTGTTACCTCTTTTGAAGGTAATGTCCTCCTCCCCCCAGGCTGCAAACCCCTGCAAAATGGAGCCACAGCTTATTCGCCTTTGTGTCCCCAGATGCAGCACTGTGCCCAGTACAGAGCAAGCACTTAAAGGTCACCATTGGTATTTGTTACATTTTAAAGTCTTTGTGTTTCGTGTTTTCATGAGGCACCAAGGAGGGGGGACCTCACCTAATTCTTTTTCCCAGAAGCCCCTCGTCACTGACCCGCACAGGGATCCCTGCATGGCACCTCTCAGGGAAGACCTCAGCCTTAGTTCCCTCACCCAAAGGTAGCAGCAGAAACAACTCCAGGTTCATGAAGGCATTAAGGAGACGTCTAGCAGGTGGCACCGTAAGGAAATATGAGGCCGGTGCTCTGGGATCTCCCATTCACGGTCTCCAGCACCACTGCCCAACAGCACTCGCCACGTGTCACTGGCCCGGCCAACTACGGCAGTCATTCCCTTGGGAAGGTGGTACAGCACATCAGGAAGCCTTCTGCGTCTCTGAACTGGACCCACCTGAACACGTCATTCCAATACTCCTTCACATAGGACACTTGGTGGAAAGGGATGTCTAGGATCTGGCAAACTCTATAAGCATCTTCACAGTCTCTGTCAGCAGTGCAAACTCCATGTTCATCCAGCATGTCCCAGTTCTTCATGAACACCCCTGTCACTTGGTAGCCTGGGGGAATGAGGGGACACGAATTGGAGTCCATAATCAACGCGGGGTGAAAGCAGTTGCTGAGTTCCCAGCAGTTCCCTGACACGCCCCACTCCCGCACCACCATCCGCCAGTTCACCTAGCAATGCCTGCTTTGCTACATGGCCTTCCAGGTGACTCACATCCGAGTGCAAGCCACCTGACTTGCTGGCTGGCCCAGAGGCTCCCTCCCCTACACTCCCACAGCCCTTGTACACGCCTCCCTCATCACAGCGCACTGCGGGACTGCAACTGTTGGCCTGTGTCCCCCAGGTGAGCAAGATGGTGTATTTTCATCTCTGTATCCCTACCCTGTGTCCGCACAATGCCTAGCACGTGGTAGAGGCTCAGCAAATGAGCGCTGAATGATGGAAGAGCAGAAATTCAACATTTTTCAAAGCAAATAAAAACCACCATTCAGTTATCAAAAAAGTAAACTGATTTCAAAGACTGTTTCCAATCATCTAGAACTTAGACTCTAAGTCATCAGACAAGAACACAATTAAAATTTGGGCTATTTTATTATAAAGGCTGTACTAACTATGTATTTTATGACCTTTTTTTTGGTCCTCTTCTATTGTAACAAAGTACCCAACCAAATACTGGAAAGACCAACGTTAGCTTTGCCTCATCTTAGGGAACCACTCAGGTGCCTACCCTGTGGGAAAAGTGTTTGAGAAATGTTTCTTAGTGGGTATGCTCAATGTAACAAAAGCATTTTTTGTTATTTTAGGGACTTTAGACTATGTTTAGACTGTGCAGAGCCCTTGCAGGTTCCTGATGAGGTGTGTGACATGTTTTGAGAGATGTGGCAGACTAGCCGTGGGCAGACCAGGTATACTACGTTTACTCTACAGGAAGGTCAGCTGTCCCTTCTCCCCAGGACCCAGACGACCACTCCGTATTCCGGCCTTCCCTGGGGTTTCCTCCTCAGTGGGAAAAGCTGATGGACTTAGCAAAGGAAAAGCAGTAACTAAGAGGGTTTTTTTTGTTTTGTTTTATTTTTTTTTTTTAAGAGGTTTAATAGAGTACTCCAAAGAACAGAGATGCAAAGTCAAAGCTCTACCATGCCCCCCCTCCCCCCTCCGCCCTAGTTCATCAGGCCCTCTCCCACTCCACTTCTCTTACAGGCACACCACACTGGGCTCTGCTGGGCTTGGTGTTCCAGTCTGCCCCCTTCAGCAATTCACGATAGCGTGGACTTCTTCAGAGAGCAGGGACTACACCTCATTCAACCCTCTGTCCCAGTGCCCTGCACAGAACAGGAGCTAAAAAGGTCCTTGTAGAAGAGACAACCCCAGGGGCGCCTGAGTGGCTCAGTCATTAAGCGTCTGCCTTTCGGCTCAGGTCATGATCTCAGGGTCCTGGGATGGAGCCCCGCATCGGGCTCCCTGCTCCGCGGGAAGCCTGCTTCTCCCTCTTCCACTCCCCCTGCTTGTGTTCCCTCTCTCGCTGTTTCTGTGAAATAAATAAATAAAATCTTTAAAAAAAGAAGAGACAACCCCACACACAGCTTTCAAAATCTCCTCTTCTATAACTTCAGCCTTCTTGTCATGGAGATGGACCCACTTATGCGCACAGGGTCAGGCACTCCAGGATGGGACCTGAACTTTCCAGGGGGCACAGGATAGGACCTGCACCTCCAACAAGAATAGGGAAGCCCGCGATGCCAAGGAGAGGACCACGCTTTTCCTTTGCTACGTCCATCAGCTTCTCCCACTGAGGAGGAAACCCCAGGGAAGGCTGGAATACGAGTGGTCGTCTGGGTCCTGGGGAGAAGGGACAGCTGACCTTCCTGTAGAGTAAACGTAGTATACCTGGTCTGCCCACGGCTAGTCTGCCACATCTCTCAAAACATGTCACACACCTCATCAGGAACCTGCAAGGGCTCTGCACAGTCTAAACATAGTCTAAAGTCCCTAAAATAACACCTTCCATAATCACTGTTTTCTCCTTTCTCCAGCCACCTCCTTCTGTCCAAACCCAGCCAACACTTGTATGCCTCTGACCTTCTGCTCGAGCTGCTGACTCTGCCGGGAGCACTTTCCTCCACAGTTCACGCCAATTCTCTGCTTAGTGAAATCCTACTCTCCCTTCAAGTCTCACCTTAAACACCATGACCCTCTGTGATGCTTTGATTCTCCGTTCTCAAGTTACAGATGCTTAGCGTGCCTACATTTTTTAAAAAGATCCGAGAGAGTGAGGGCGCACACACGCACGCGCATGAGTGGGTGGGGACGAAGGGAGAGGGAGAGACAGAATCCCAAGGCGACTCCCCGACGAGTGCGGAGCCCTCGCCGGGCTCTGTCCTAAGACCCTGAGATCGTGACCCCAGAGGGAATCAAGAGTCGGAGGCTCAACCGACTGAGCCACTCAGGCACCCCGTGTGCCTACATTTCCATTTAGAAGCTAATAACCACTGTTTTCGGAGGGCCCAGCATGTGCTGGGCACCGGGACAGAGGGTTGAATGAAAGCTGGTGCAGGCTCGTGTCAGCTAAGCCTTCCGGTAACCCGGCGAGGGGCGCGTTCCCTCCACTCCACGAGGAGAGCGGAACTCGCTCAGGAGCCTCTCATCCGCCCCTGCGTCCCAGGTGTTCACAGCGGAGGGTGCACACGTCACCCCGCGGAGGCGGCCTCACAAGGAGAAGCGACCACGCGCGTGGAGAACGGAGCTCAGCTCGGCTCCCGACCGCAGGCTCTCTCCAGACGCCCGGGACGCACGCTGGCCTCCGGCACAGGGGCGTCGTCCGGGAACGGAGCGCACGACGTTCCGTGGGCACTTCGGCCGCACGGGCCCCGGCAGGACCAGGCCCGTCCCCGGGGTCAGCGCAGACCCCGCCGCCGCCCCGGCCAGAGGGCCTCGGGGCCCCCAGAGTCGGGATGCCCCCCTCCACCGCGTGGGGAGCCGGGCACGGCCGTAGTCCCCGAGAAGGGGTCGCTCACCTCTCCGCCTCAGCAGTAGCGCGGCCACGGCGCTGTCCACCCCGCCGGACAGGGCGACCACGACGTGCCGCGCCGCCTGCATCAGCTCACCGCCAACCTGCCGCGGCCTCTGCCGACGCTTCCGCGCCGCGCCGGAAGCCCCGCCTCCGCCGCGACGACGCAGCCCGGCCGGGCCGGAAACGTGCGATCGGGCGCCGCGCTCCGCCCCCGCCCGGGCTGCCTCTCCAGAGGCCCCGCCCACGCCCCCTGCGCGCGCACCCCTGCCCGGGCTCGCGGCTGCGCATGCTCGCGCCGCTCGGGGGCGGGGTCAGCGTCAGCTTAGGTGCGCGCCTGCGGACCTGCCTACCGCGGGCAGGGCCCGGGGGTCGTCCCCGAGGGTGTGCGGCGAGGAGCTGGATTCTAGGCGAGGGGACCTTTAAGCAGGGGAGCGAAATGATCACATCCAAATTTCGAAAGCCTTTCCTGGCTGCCCTGTGCAGAGGACGAGCTGGGAGCCTGGTTAGCAGCCCGTGACGGCCACGTGGGGAGGGGGTGCGCTTTCAGGTCGACTCTGTAGCCTTTGCCTGCGGGAATGGATGTGGGGGGATGAGAAGGAGGGTGGAGGGCTTGGTGTTTCTGTCTTGCGGACTATTCCCGGAGGAGGGAGTGGCCCGCCGGGTCAGCTGCAGCGGGGCAGGTGCCCTGGGCCATCACCATCCAACCGGAGATGTGGCTGTTCTGAATGCTCGCGCGCGGGAGCGCACGCGTCGGGCAGCGGGGCAGATGACCGAGGGCAGGCACGTTCCGCGGGAGGGGAACAGCAGAACCGGGAGACATTCGCTGGGCCTAAAGAAAGGGGGGGGGGGGTAGGAGGTGATGAAGGCAAAGGAGGAGGCCCAGATAAGAAACCTGGACGGAGCAGAGGCGGCCGGCTGAGGGGCTGGGGGAGGGAACGGGTGGTCAGTGCGGAGTGCCAAGGCAGGGGATGGCACGACTCAGATCAGGAGTGCCCCGGGCCCCAAAGCACTGAGATTTGCGCTGACGCCAGAAGCTGTGGTCCGCACAAGCAAAATCAGGCATCCTTTTAAGTCAGCGATTCTGAACTTTCTTCACTTCAAACCCGGTGTCACATTTTCCAGGGTGGCCCAGAGGACACAGCAACCTACACATAGAAAGCATAAAAAGAAACCTCTCTAAACAGTTTTTATCTTTGCAACGTGCCATGTACTCCGTTATTTTCCATTTGGTTCTCTTTCATTTTTAAGAACCGCTGTGCCCTCCACTAGATTGATTTCATGTAGAATTTGGACCATGGTTTGAAAGTGCAAGGGAGGAGGTGCCTCAGCAGATGCAAATAGATGGGAATCAGCCCAGTAACACACACACCCTGAAGCCTCGGGTTAAAACTGTGCTAGCTCCTTAGCAGTCTCTTAGTGGACTGGCAGTGGACTAAATGTTTAAACATGGATAATTATTAAAGCAAGCCATTTCCCTGAGGATGGGAAGGCCTTGAGGGTCTGGAGAGAAACGAGGAGGTCAAGTCTCCGTTTCTGAGAAGAAAAGCAGGACCTGCCAGCTAGAGAGTCATGGCCACTGATGCCAAGGGCAGGTACAGGGTGAGCTCTCTGACAGAAGGGACGGTCAAGGTCTCCGTGGAGAAGCAGAGGAATGACAGCTTTTTCTGAAGAATAAGGTATCATCCAACAAAACATCCAACGAGAGTATCTATTTCATCTCACACTTCCCAGAAGAGAGGAGCAGACACAGCAAATTTTGGGGTGAACCTTTGGTGGAGTCTCTGGCAGGGGCCGAGTTGAGGCCACTGGACGTTTTGGCTCAGTCTAGAGGACCACGCCCTTCCTGGGTGTGGCAGTTTGGTTCAAGGTTAGGGTGGAAGTCCAGTTTTCCCGCCTAAGCAAAGGGGTTTGGGTTTAGATATGCTGCAACCCACCCCCACAGTGGCGGAAACATGATAACGTTTGCAACACTTTCTGCGGCTTTTCGGTTAAAGATCTGGCATTTCAGCTACTTTGGATGGTTCAGCCATGAGAAGGAAAATGACATCCCCGGTGCCATGTGCCAACAGGGATGTAAGATACGCAGATTTCAGAGATGTGCCCCAGGAGGTTAATGAAATACGTAAAAGTGGCGTGAAGTCAGACCTCTTAAACCTGGGAGTGTGGCCCTCCAGTGGCCGCCAAGACACCTCACACTGTGCGGAGAACATGGCCAGCACTCAGGGAGCTCCAGAGCATGTCTTTTTTTTTTTTTTTTTAAGATTTTATTTATTTTTTTGAGAGAGAGAGACACAGCGAGAGAGGGAACACAAGCAGGGGGAGTGGGAGAGGGAGAGAGAGAAGCAGGCTTCCCGCTGAGCAGGGAGCCCGATGCGGGGCTCGATCCCAGGACCCTGGGATCATGACCTAAGCCGAAGTCAGACGCTTAACGACTGAGCCACCCAGGCGCCCCCAGAGCATCTGTCTTTTTAATAGAATTAAAATCCTATTACTTCTGTCCTGCCTGGGGGTGCTTGTGGATTGGGTGATGCCCCTGAGCCCCAAGAAGAGCCTGGTGGCTCCCAAGGCAGCCCAAGGGAGGGGAGGGGCCTTGGATGAGAAGAGCCAGGGAGCAGGCCAAGGTCCAAAGGCCCAGCTCATCCCCTCGGTTTGGATGGGATGGCCAGAACCCCACTTAATGATCGTATATTAGCTAAGAGTTTAATGTCCCTCCCTCCCACCAAACTGTAAAGCCCCCAGAAGGTAGGGGGGATGCATGAGCTTTGCTCCCTACTGCATCCCTGGGAGCAATGCAGCCTGCCTATATTAGTCTCCATCAATATGCAGGGCGCCTGGCTGGCTCAGTAAGAAGAGCGTGCGATTCTTGGTCTTGGGGTCATGAGTTCCAGCCCCACACTAGGTGTGGAGATTACTTAAAAATAAATAAATAAAATGTAAATAGCATGTGAATGAATCAATTCAATTCCAGGTTTGGGGTTTTCCCCTGTGAACTGAGGGGCCACACCAGACATCAGAGGACCCTTGCATTAATATTGGATTCTAACATTCTTGCTGCCCACATTAACAGAGACGAGGGAGGAGTGGGCCTCTGTGATTCCAGTCGGTTCTCTGCTCCCCTGGCCAGGGAGTGTACCTTGAGCAAGGCCCCTGCTTCCAGAGTCAGCACTCATACTCGTAAGCATTCCTGCCTTTAAATGTGAAGCTTTCCTCTGCAGGTGAAATGCTATCCAGGATGCACGCTTGCCTTTTCTAGATAGCATAGGAATCACATTTCCATCGGAGGCCTTAACAAGAGAAAGCTCAAAGCACGGCCCCCAGCTTGCTTCCCTCAGCGCTCTGTGGACCGAGGTTTCCTGGTCTCGGCCAGGAAACACCAGATGGGAGCCCAAAAAAGCAGGTCCCATGACTACTGTCTGCTGTGAGCCCACTGAACTAGGACTGAGAAATTTTCTATACATTTCTGTACAATTCTATACTATAGAAATGAGGGATCTATACAGATCAGCGGCTTCCAAGCCAGCTAAGTTTTAGAAAATATTAAATTAGGGGGCGCCTGGGTGGCTCAGTTGGTTAAGCGTCTGCCTTTAGCTCAAGTTATGATCTCAGGGTCCTGGGACTGAGTCCTGCGTCAGGCGCCCTGCTCAGTGGGGAGCCTGCTTCTCCCTCTGGCTCTGCCGCTCCCCCTGCTTGTGCTCTCTCTCTCTGACAAATAAATAAAATTAAAAAAAAAAAAAGTGTGGATTACTTAAATCTGATAGTAATAAAAACAGTTACACATGTTTGAAAATCAAGATAACCTTAAAAACCAAGCTGTGTTTTAATACATTTTCATTTATTTTACAATTTAATTTAAATCTAGGATACTTAACGTTTCATACAAACTTAATTTTAAAAATAGTCGCTTGCTATTTTACATACAAAAGATTCAAAATTCTTCACCTGGAGCAACTGAACTCCATGCTCCAGCCCGGTGCTCAGGGCAGCATAGAGGGGAGCTGACGGGCAGCAGTGGCCTCGGGAGCCCAAAACACCCCCCAGTCCTGCAGCACCCCCTCCTCCAGGCATGGGACCTTCACTGAGGGTTGGTTTTTTCCCCCAAAACGACTTCTCCTAGATTTATTTCTAAGGGTTGAAAACCACCTTAGGACTGACAGTTCTTTTAGAAAGAGTGAAACACAAAGGACTGTATTCTCAGAACTTGAGAAGTGGAGAATCCATGTTTTCCTTGTCAGCCTCGGGACTCAGCTGGATCAGAGGAGAAGCCAAGTCTATCAGCTGCAAGAGAGAAGCGACAGGAGGTGAGTGGCATGGCCACGTTGCCCCTCGCAGCCCGTCGGCTCCTTGAAGACCCGGCTGCCCTTGAGTCCTCTGGGCCACGGCTCAGTACCACCCACCACTTGGGCAGAGGGACCCTGCAGCCGTCCCGTCTAAGAAGTTGGACGGAGGAAGTGCCACACGAAAGAAGTCGGAGTTCCCTCGTCACACAATAGGCACTGGGGGACCCTGGAGTGGCGGCGATGTGACAGCCACCCTCAGAGAGCCCTGGGCTTCCCAGGCAGGATCCCACAGCAGGACTTGGTGAATTCCAAGCTCATGCTACCAATGGAGCATGCCCTGAGCCGTGTCACTTTGGAAACCTCCCTGGTCACTCTCGAGGGTCACCGTGAGGCACCCTGGGATGAGGAACAAACCCAGAACGGAGCCCACCCAAGACGAGGCCTCCACGGAGCTTCCTGCTGCTCCTCACCTGTCCCACCTCCTGGGGAGGCTTGGACGCAGTGTTTCTGATCATGTCTGGAGTGTTCATCAGCAGGTCGATCAGAGGTCTACTCTCAGATCCCAGAGCCACGTGTGCTTCTGGACTATTGCAAAAGTCAATGAGAGGGATGTCGATGAGGGCTGTGCTTTCAGCTTTTGGAGTGATGGCCAGTTGGTCCAGTTTGATATCCACGAGAATAGCCTAGACAAGAACACAAGACTTAAAAGCAGTTCTAGCATCTTTTTGTCAACCACGCTGAGGAAACCTAGGAAACCCAGGCAAGGATGGGCCTTAGCGGGGAGCTGGCCGTGTGCCCGTCCTGAGTTCTCTCCTCTCTGGCCGCCTCCACACAGCCCCAGCCCATCCACCGCCCTCCGGCCCGCAGCCCACACGGGAGCTCCCGCCGACGCTCCCACTGCTGCCCTGCTTCCTACTTCCCGTCCTCTGAGCCCTGGCCCTCTCTGGTCAGACACAGGGGAGGGGTGTGGCTTCTGTGCCTGCTGGAGGCTGGAGGTGCTCATCCCCCCCGGCACGGCTGGCCCCAGAGACCCCGAGCACGATGGACCAAGTCCTGGAGAGCGACTCTGGGGAACGCCGTGCTGAGTCGGCCCGTGGCGGGGGCAGGCTCCGCTCGTCCAGGGTAACACACGTACCTCACCAGTGGGTGTGTCTCCAGGTGGCTGGGCTGCATCCAGCACGACTTCTGTGCTGATACTTTCTGAAAGAGTCAAGCCAGTCTTTTCTGGAGAAAAGTTAAGTGCCTGTGGTACAGCTGACAGAGGGGAAAGGGACCCGTCGGGAGACGAGTCCTTGCGCCTAGAGGTAGCCTTGCTGTCGGTGTCCCTCGTTGGTGCAGCTCTACCAGACAGAAAAATGGGAAATCTGAGGAGGGGACTCCTGTCCGTCTTAGCTTGTTGGGCTAGGATTCTAGTTTTGGAGGAGGCGTGAAGTGCAGCGTTCCAGCCCCATCTCTGACAGCTCTGACTGACAGCGACCGCAGGACTCTCCCAGGGACCCAGTCGCAAAGACCACACCAGACCCCAGAGCTCTGGATGTGAGCGCACCTTACAGAGCCCTCTGTCCAAAGGGCTCCTCCCAGTGAGAGGCCGTGGCCCACAGAGACACGGGATTGGGGCAGACGCTCTCCCACCTTGCCCAGCTCAGCAGCCCACCTGGGATAGGACACTCAGTGGGGACTATGATGGCGGATCAAGCAAGTGCCCTCCCTCGCTTCAGAGGGCCACTGAGAGACTGCTGTGGCCGTTGCTGAGCAGATGCGATGAACCTCGGCTGGGCTGGTTCCCAACAAGTGACTCACCCACCAGACCAGGCAGGCTTTCCAGTGTAAGAATCACCTGGGGTCTTGGGAATCTGAGACAAACTTACTGCAGCCTCTACCTCTCACCTCACTGAAGACTTTTTCTGCGGCTCAGAAGAAAGCCGCCGAGCAGGCGCACACAGAGGCGAAGCCAGAGCTCTGGGCACGGTTTTAGGGGTCATGGATGGAAGGCCGGAGAGCCGACGGCTGGCAGGTGTGGGCAGGGCTGACACGTGCTTCATACTCATGGGGGTCCTCGTACTGCTTACAAGGCTCTGCGGGGCTGCCACCGATGAGCGTCTAGCAGGAGTGCTCTGGAAAACAACCCTGGAGAAACAAAATTGGAGTCTTCAGCAGACATGACTAAAAAAAAAAAAAAAAAAAAAAAATCCATTCAGCCAATATGCTAATGAAGTAAAAAGTCCTGTGATTTCAACATAAAAGATAAAAGATTCAAGCCGGCCAAGCCTGTTGGAGGTCTGCTCTGGGAAGGAAGGGCTGCCCCAGCCCCCTGGGAGGCCCTGGTGCGGGCTTCTGGTTCCTCAACGAGGGGCCTCTCCACACTACCAAACGTGATGGCACCTTCCAGGTGGTGCCGTGCAGATGCACTGCGTGGGACGTTCAGAGGACATCTAAAAGTCACCTGCTGATGAGGTAGGTATTTGCAGAAGGAAATGCAGACCCACACTGGGGCCTAGTCTGGGCTCACGGGCCTGTCCAGTCATTCCCAGTGGTAAGAGCACCCAAATCACACGTGAGCACACACGAATAAATCAGGGCAGCTGCTGCTGATTTCTCACACCTCCCTCCTTCCAACCTTGGCAATACACGTGGCTCTGATGGCCAGTGAATCCTGCGCATCTCTGTGGGGCCAGCTGCTATTTTAAAATAAACAAGCCGGGGCTGTCCCAACGTGCAGCCCGCAGGACGGCTGCAGGTGACACACCACCCATCAAGGACAATCTTTACGTGCTTCAGAAAGAGTCTGAAAACAAACTTTAATTAACATTAACTGGAAAACTGAATCACTCCAGGGGGACTGGCAGGAGGGTGGGGTGCTCTCAAGCCAAGCAGCCACTCTCTGCAGTTCTGGAACCACTGCCTTACTCCCTTTACTGCTGAACTCCAGTGAGAACAGATAAAAATGCAAACAAATGTAATCTTCAGAGTAACCCTGGGAGGCAGGAACTACTGTCCTGTTGCACAGGTGGAGGACCGAGCGACAGGGCTAAAGTGAGGCAGGCCGCGGCCGTCTGGCTATGGGTGTGAAGGGAAAGACTCACAGCATGGCTAATGCTGTAAGGGGAGGCATCCGCCCAACCCATGAAGCACCTCCCAAGTTCACACTCAAGTAAATGCAAGTCCAGGGTCAAGGAAAGACTCGCAGATGGCGCAGGCTGGCCTGTGGCAGGGCCAGGATTAGGGCCCCCGCTCAGGTGTCTGAGTCATCACTTGTCTTACCACCTATCCCACCTGAGCCCAGCCCATCCCATCCCACCCACGTGCAAAGCAGCATTCCCATCCTGGCTGCACGCAGGCCCTGGAAACGCTGCTCCCCTGGGTGAGCGTCCTCACTTCCGCTTCCGCTCGCAGTGGATGTGCGCAGAGTGGAGCAGTGCTGGGACAGGGTCCTGCCCTGGGACAGAGTGCCCACAGCCGTGCTGGGGCCAGGCCGTCAGAAAGGGCCCTCTGACCCCAGCAGATGGCAATAAAGGGTGGCAGGGGGAGGACGGTCACCGGCCTGGGCCCCTCACGCGCGTGCGTGTGTGTTCTTACTGTTTGCAATATCTGCTGTGCTGAGTGTGCCCCGTCCCCACTGCACAGCTGAGGAAATGAGGTCAGGACTGTCCAGGAACTTGCACTGGGTCACAGACCAGGGACAGTGGAGCCGGGATTCAAAACCAAGTCTGACTAACGACACCACACCGAGGGTTTGCACCCATGGCACAGATGAGAGCCCCCTTTTACAACAGTGGGGGTGGACGTTTCTGCCACCAAGTCAGGCCTGAGAGTCGGCACGTTACACCGCAGATGGCAAGTCTGCGACTGTTGTGAGGTGGATGGAAGTGACACTTGCCCTCGGGAGCCCAGGCCACACCCCGACAGACCAGGGCTCCGGCCAGTGGGGCCAGGCTGTGGGGTACCCCACGCATGCTTGAGAAAGCTCGGAGAGACAAGCAGGTTCCTTCTCAGAGTGATGTAAAATCAAAGGACACGGTGACTCCTCACCTCCCCACCGACGTGCAGGACTGCGGTCTCTGGGCCCGGCAGGACATCGGCGTCGTGCTGTCCGGGGGCTCACCTGGGGCAAGAGAGGAAGCGTGTGCAGTCAGTCACATGTGGGGCAAGTGATAAACCCACCGTCTGGGGCTCTTCACCAGGGGCGACTCTCCTCAAACACTGAAGGCTCCGCTGCAGGGCCCTGTCCATGTGGTCCCCGTGTCCCCTCAACAGCTGGTGTCACGACCACCACGCCCGTTCCAGAGGGAGCACACAGAGCGGGGTGTTCTAAGCAGCGTGGTGGCTCCCCGCAGCCTCGCCAGCCCTGACTTCATGGGAACAGTCTGATGCGGGGCCGATGAGAAAGGTGCTCGCGAGACAGCCCTGCCCCTGACACTGCGAGGAAAGGAGAGCCCAATTCCGGGGGAGCTGGAGGTGCCACTGAGGGCAGGAACGGGCGGCAGAGGGTGGCAGCTGGTAGGCAGCGGGACTGGCACAGGACAAGACTGGCGACAGATGGAGCCAGAGGAAAGGCAGCCATGGCTTTGGGCAGCCGGTAAGAAAGGAAGCAAGCGCTGCTGAACGCAGTCCGCGCCCTGTGCCGTGGGGCGCCCTGGAGAAGCCGCTTCTGCAAAGACACTGAGCTCTCTGCTGGAATCTGCATTCTATCTCCAGGTGTGGCTTCTCCCTTGGGATCCAAACTCATACATTCAACCGCCTGCTCAACACAGCCCCACCGGAGCCCTGTGGCATCTCCAACTCAACTGGTGCAAACTGGGCCCGTGCGCTCCGCCCCAGGGCTGCTCTTCCTTGAGCCCTCCCCGATGGCGGGAGGCAGCACCCGGGTGGCCGCACCCGGGTGGCCTGCGGAGGCCCCCTCCACGCTGCCGCCTGCTCTCCCACCACCACGATCTCTAGTCCACATCACAGCAGGGCTTCTGCACGGCTCTCCCCGCTTCCATTCTTGACCACGAGGGCCTGCTCGTCCCTCAGGGGAGGCAGCTGTCGAGGGCCTAAAGCCCTGTCCCATGGTGCCCCCTGCACGGAGAGTTACTCCGAACCATTCCTTAGTCACGGGGCGCTACGCGAGCCGGCAGCACCTCACCTCTCACCTCGTTCGCTAACTTGGCTGAGGTTGCTGGTATTTGTTCAATAGCCACTCTCCTCTTCTCAGTAAGAGACGGTAGTGAGGCGGGAAGACAACATGTCTCTGCATCCCTGGCAGGCGAGCGCAGTCACATGCCTGAGGCCTGAGCGATGGGACGGAGATGGAAGCGGCACATGCAGCTTCCGGGAAGCACCCTGCTCCTCCTCACCGACCCCGCCTTCGCTGCTGACGGTGGGAAGGCTGGAGCGGGGGCAGCCATACTAGAGCACGAGGAAGAGAGGCTAAGAACAAGGCAGAGGAGGCTTCGGGGCAGTAAAGGCCACCTGCACCGGCCGGTGGTGCTGGAAACTTCCAACAGCTGCCTGGGAAGCACATCCACTCGGGAAAGGCTACAACTACCCTCTCCCTTGAGTCAGCTCTGTACAACGTTCCACATTATACACACTTCTGAGATTAATTTACCTCGACCAAACATCCACCTGCTACCTGCCAGACACCAGGCTGGTGCAGACGGGGAGAGGCCACACCAGCCCGGCAGCCTTACTGATCAGAGGAGGCTGGGGGGCGAGCATTTGGGGGGCAGACCTAGACAGGTGGGAGCTACTGAGGAAGAGCTCTAGAAATGGGGAGGGAGCCCGAGTCCCTGGCTGCGCAGGAAATAGCAGCACGCATGCAGCGTGAGACTCTGAAAGGCCACGGCAAAGACAGCCACCGGGGGCAACTGCCACCGCTCACACAGGGCTGGGGGACTGCCACGTCCTTCTGGCCAGGGCGGAAACCTCGGGAGCACACAGCACGTTTGGCAGGGACTCAGACAGGCCACGCGTTCATAGCAGGGCTGCCTGGTCCCCAGGGTAAACGGCTACTTAAGACCTGCCCCATCAAAGCTTATAAAGAATCCTCTGAAGGATCAAGTTGACCCACAATTTAAATGCCTTCCAGGGCAAGATTCAGCTCCTTAAAGCAGGATAACAAAACCCAGATATTCAAAAATTCTGAACTTACACCATCTAAGAGATGATCAATAATTATTATTTTTTAAAGATTTTATTTTATTTATTTATTTGACAGAGAGAGACACAGCGAGAGAGGGAACACAAGCAGGGGGAGTGGGAGAGGGAGAAGCAGGCTCCCCGCAGAGCAGGGAGCCCGATGCGGGGCTCGATCCCAGGACCCTGGGATCATGACCCGAGCCGAAGGCAGTCGCTTAACCAACTGAGCCACCAATAATTGTTGGCGCCCAACAATTATTAAACATGGGAAGAAGCAGGAAAATGTGACCATCACCAGAAAAAAACTTAGTGGCTAGAAATGGACCCCAAAGTGACAGGGAAGATGGCATTAGAAGAAACAGTTTAAAACAACCATCATAAATACGTTCAAGAATTTAAACAAACACAATGGGGCGCCTAGGTGGCTCAGTCGTTAAGCGTCTCCCTTCGGCTCAGGTCATGATCCCAGGGTCCTGGGATTGAGCCCCGCACCGGGCTCCCTGTTCTGCTGGAGGCCGGCTTCTCCCTCTCCCACTCCCCCTGCTTGTGTTCCCTCTCTCGCTGTCTTTCCCTCTGTCAAATAAATAAAATAAAATCTTAAAAAAAAAAAAAGAATTTAAACAAACACTGTTAGGACAAAGATGAGGAAATTACAATATCAGAAACAAAAAATTAACTGGATGGGCTTAATTGCAGATTAGACACACTGCTGAGAAAGATGTGAATGCGAAGACATGATCTTGAAACGTCCCAACTGAAACACAAGAACAGGTGGGGAAACCCAGGGCCTCCGTGACCTACAGACCACATTGAGAGGTCTGTAATACTTGTAATTAGAGTCCCAGGAAATGAAGGGAAGCAAGAAAAAGAATCTGAAGAAAGAATAGCAAAGTTTTTTTCCCAGAATTAATACAAATATCAATCCATAGACCAAAGCAGCTCAAGAATTCCCAAGAAGGATGAACCCAAAGAAAGCCACCTCGAAATTCATAATAATCAAAATGCTGAAACGAATAAGAAAGAGGAATTTCTGAGAGCAGCGCAGGAGCAGTGATGGGACAAAGGGGAGTGACTGTGAGACAAGAATGCCACCAAGTTCTCATCTGAAATGGTACAAGCTAGAAGATGCTAGAACAACGCATTTAAAGTGCTTTAAGAAAAAAGAAAGCTGGGGCGCCTGGGTGGCTCAGTTGGTTAGGTAACTGCCTTTGGCTCAGGTCATGATCCCGGAGTCCTGGGGTCGAGTCCCACATTGGGCTACCCCTGCTCTGTGGGGAGCCTGCTTCTCCCTCTGCCTCTGCCTGCTACTCCCCCTGCTTGTGCTCTCTCTCTCTCTCTGTGTCAAATAAATAAAATCTTTAAAAAAAACAAAAAAGGAAAAAAAGCTGGGTGCCTGGGTGGCTCAGCTGGGTTAGGCGACTGCCATGGTCATGATCCTGGAGTCCCTGCTCAGCAGGGAGTCTTCTCCCTCTGACCCTCCCCCACTCATGCTCGCTCTCTCTTTCTTTCTCAAATAAAGTCTTCAGAAAAAAAAGAAAAAAGAAAGCCAAAAACATTATATAGAATCTGTTCAGTATTTTAAAACCATGAAAAATGACCCACTCCTTACCGGTAGCAAACTTGGGGATCTTAAATTGACTTGTAGGGGTGGGCACAGCCTGTGTCCTGCAGAGTAGGTAGGAGTCACGCCTTCTCATACTCCCAGCTGTATTTAACTGAGAGGGATGGGACCAGGTGGAGCCGGAGCTCGGGCCCGGGCCTCCCTGTTCCGGTGTCCGGGCTTGGACGAGAGCTGCTGGGGTGGGCGCCTTGGCAGCCTCCGCCTTCACCTCAGCCACCGCAGCCCACTTGCTCTGCTTGCAGGGGGCACCCGAAGAGCCTGTCTGCGGAGGCAGGGAACTGCCCGCGGGAACACTTGCAGGTTCACCGGATCTAGCTGGAAGAGAAGACACAAAATCTGGCTATCACTCAAGCTGATGTCATTTTTAAATTATGAAGTTACTTAGCAAACACTTAAAAAGTTTTCAAGTGAGGAAAATTATTTATTTCGATCATGATGATTTGCATATGATGAAACAGGACCTGTGAGCAACATTCTGTCCGCCCGTCAGGTCATGTCCTCAAACACAGGACAAGCTTGGTCGCTCATGGCTCAGCTGAGTGTGTTCTACGGTACGAATTCTAGACACATTACCAAGATGTATGTAAATATATGTAAATTCAAGCTCTCCCGTCTTCCCTGATTTGTCAACAGCAGACATCTGCCCTGGCTGAGCAGCCAGGAATGGACAGTGTAGTCACACGCCCCACCCCTCTAGTCAGGGAGGTGGGGAGGGGACAGGGAGAGAAGGCGCAGTCAACCGGGTTGGTTCCTTCAAATCCCAAGGAGGCTGGGTCATAGCAATCACAGGCACTATTTAAAACAGAAAGAAGGGGCGCCTGGGTGGCTCAGTCGTTAAGCGTCTGCCTTCGGCTCAGGTCATGATCCCGGGGTCCTGGGATCGAGCCCCGCGTCGGGCTCCCTGCTCAGGCAGGAGCCTGCTTCTCCCTCTCCCGCTCCCCCCTGCTTGTGTTCCCTCTCTCGCTGTGTCTCTCTGTCAAATGAATAAATAAAATCTTTAAAACAGAAAGAAGATAAACCCGGGTGAGAAGTATACTCAGGTGCCAATATGCCCCACGAAGACGTCAGCCTGGGAAGCCTCCTACAGAAAAGCTCAAAGAGAAAGGCTGACGCCACAGCCCACAGCACACCATACACACCGGCTTTACAGCGTTCCTCCCCACACACTGGCCCGTCTGCGCACAACGCAGGAAGACACACACACACCCCGTCAGGCCCACTCAACGTCCGTCTCACAGCCTTTCCGAGTTAGCGCTGCAGCGATCCTCAGTAAAAATGGTGCCAATGCCCTGCACGTGCCAGCCACACAACTTCACCGCCCCTCATCTGACAGAACTCCCTTTCCGCCCCCGGATCACGGGCCGTGCGCCAGAGCTGCCGGGGCGGGCCCTTCGAGCACTCCTTCTAAAGCCCGTGACAGCACGGCAGGGGACACCATCCCGCCGTCTGTCCAGTTACGGAAACAACTTCAGGTCTCTTCACCACCACTGGGCAGTCGGGACTCCAAATCACATCAGTCTGATTCCAGAATTGACATTTTGTTTTGTTTTGTTTTGTTTTAAAGATTTTATTTATTTGAGAGAGAGAATGAGAGAGAGGGAGAGCATGATCGGGGGGAGGGTCAGAGGGAGAAGCAGACTCCCTGCCGAGCAGGGAGCCCGATGCGGGACTCGATCCGGGGACTCCAGGATCATGACCTGAGCCGAAGGCAGTTGCTTAACCAACTGAGCCACCCAGGCGCCCCAGAATTGACATTTTGTGAACCTGTCACATTCTGTGAACAAAATCCACACACGTCTACGCAGCAAATAGCACAGGATGAGAGGGGTGAGTCCTGAAGGGACTGGAAGGTGGCCTTCCCCCCAGCACACTAGGGCTTCTTCCCTTTACCACTAGATGGCGCCCATGGCTTGCTAAGATGACAACTTAGCCTGATTTTCATCATGTTTGGGTGTGGGGATTTAAATAAATGCCAAGTTTACAAGGGTCATATGCCCTAAATGATCTGGAACAGTCCTATTTTTAAACCCTGTGTCTGATTACACATCCACGGGCCGGTCTCCGCGTCCTTGTGCGTTCGCTGGCACCGGGAGCATACATCAGCTCGGGCACTGTGCAGGCCACCCTAAACTAAAACCCCCAGCCTGAGAGCGTCTCTCCTCGGAGGAGGGGGAGCGCCGTGAGGGCAGGGACCCTGACCCCATGGCCCCTGCCCCACACCACAGCAAACCCTCCAGAACCTTCTGCGGAGTCTAAGTGCTTCTGCGAAAACGGTCTCAGAAGGACATCAGCACTCGGGACCTGGCCTCGCTGGGCATGGGTGGGTCTGGGCGCGGAGATCCCCACTGGCCTTACCTCTGCCGGCTGCTGGAGAAGCACACGCACTGGAAATCACAGCCGAAACGGACCCAGAGGAAGAGAACTTTCTTGAAAGACCTCCAGCACAACCAGGGGGTTTCAACAGGGTTTTCTTCAGCCCCAACTGAAACAAAATGTTAAAAAAAAAAAAACAGTCATCAAAGAGTTCATGATCCACCCATTACTTTTTAACGCAAAAATAGGGTTTATAAATAATTGTTAATAATTTAATAACAATCATCTTGAATGTAAAGGAAAAGGCCAAGCAGTACTGCTCAAGTGTAGTCTTCAAACCTGCATGAGAAACACGTGGGACCTTGCTGAAATGCAGATTTTTGGGCTCCAATCCCGGCCCACTGAGTCCAGAGCTGCAGGGCCCAGCTTCTGGCAATTTTAACAAGTACTTCAGTGGTTCTTATGCACAGCTCAGTTTAACCACGATGCCAGGAAAGAAATAGCAGAGCTGTGGGCGGTTGTCCCCCTGCCTGTGAGCGCAGTGTCGAAGCACTGACTTCCCATCTCGTCTGAAGGAAGCAGGGAGCGAGGCAGACACAGATGCTCAGAGATGCTGACGTTCCTCAGTCCGCGGCCAGGCCGCGCTGCCTCTCACTGAGCTGCCTCACACCAGTCCCATTTTCAACCTTCCTAAACTTGATGTTAGTCGAAGACACATTATATGTGTACAGCGCTGCCTCTGTATTGGCTCTGCTCACAGGCCACGCCCGGCTGCAGCCCTGGCAGACCCACCTTGTTTGCAACAGGGAGCGATCGCTTGCCTTGGACCAAGTGGCTTCCACCAGCTGGCAAGCTAGCGAGCTCCCGGGCGGCACTGGATTTGTCAGGGGGCACATCCCTGTGGGATTCCTTTTCCCTGAGGATTTTCATATTGGAAGGACTGGTTGGTATCCTTTTCCTAGGCTGAAAATTTTAAGATGAAATGTGAGAGCTGTCTGGTCTTTAACATACAGAAGCACCATCTCTCTTCCCCATGCTATACACGTTCCTCCATTCATCAACTAGATTGAAGTGAATATAGCAGCTCACTTCCTGCACCAAATTACCATGGACAAAACTGATGATGGCGTTTGCTTCCTCATTAAAAACAGAGCAGAATAATACTAAGACCGATCATTAACAGGAGAGAGAGATCCTCTAAAGCTAGTCCTCAATCAGGATTCTTATTTAAGGATGATAATGAGGAAACTGGTCTAGTGACAAAAATTTTAAAATGCTGTATGGAAAGGAATCACTCGTTAAAAGGTCATTCCTTCTAGCAGAGACACTGCTCAGTTGTAATAAATCTTCTTGGAAGAATACTGGAAGCTGTTCTTCTTTGGACAACAGAGTCAAAGAATACATGTCTGACAATATTTAGATACAAGGGCATTCATGGAACTAACCCGTTTATGTAAATAACCCCTTATGACAAGGCCAGCTGTTAAGAAGCAGTAGCAGCTCGTAAAGTCATAGTGTTGAAACAACAACTTTTTTCCTTCACAGCATTTTAAAATTGATATGCCTCCCATAACATAAAAGTCGCCTTTTGAAAGTGTAGGTGTCAGTGGTTTTTAGCATACTCCCGGTGTTGTACAACCAGCATCAACCCGAGAACATTCTTGTTGTCCCTAAAGGAAACCGCCAGCCACTAGCAGTCACTTCCCACCCCCACCCCCCACCCCCCCGCCTAGACAGACACTACCCTACTCCCCTCTCTACAGTTTGCTTATCAGTCCCCTCCTATAAATGGGAGCATACAGCATGTGACCTTTTGTGTCTGGCTGCCTTCACTAAGCATGTTTTCAAGGGTCGTCCATGTTATACTATGTCCTATTATCTACTAATACTGCATCTCCTGATTGCCTGAGTCCACCTGTGTGTCACATACAGAAATCCCTACCTGGGTCCATATATGACACAGAAGACCCGTGTCACTCATTCTAGACACGTCACTTTTAGAAATTTACATCCAAACGGTCTCCAGCAAAGGGAGCTTGTATGATTAAAGGAACGGCCCCGGCTATTTGGGGGAAGAGACAGCCGGCATATCTCCTGTTCAGGCTTCAGTGGGGCAGACAAGCTGTGAGCTCGGATCGGCTCTGGGTTCTGAGGGCAGGGAGTCATGCACTACATAAGCTGTGCTTGTAGAGGGAAAAGGAGCTCCTAGGCCCTTGCTGGGTGGTTTGCACTGACCCCACAGAGCACCATTCCTCCGTAACTGGCTCAGAGAGCAGAGGCCTGGGGCCCAGGTTAGCAGGAGAACTGAGAAACGGTACACGGCAGGCTCCGACCCGCTGGCTCTCCTCCAAGTAGGGCTTCCTCCCGTGAGCAGAGATGCAGCAGCAAAGCCTGGAAGCAGCCGCCCTCTGACACCTTCCCTACCCGAGTGCCCTACCCCGCAAGCCTCCAGGAGCCCCAGTGCACCAGAGTTGGCTAGCCGTACCCCAAAGGCCTGCCTGCCCACTGCCACTTCCCAGGACACTCATCCATTTAATTCCTAGGAGGAAAGCAATCTAAACAAATTCACAGCTAAGGAAGATGACTAGTGGCTGTTCCAAGAGGGAATTTTTGGAAGTTGCTTGTTAATGCACACAAAATCCCTATAAGTAGAAAATCCAACGTTGTAACAAAGCAAAAGGAAAAATTTCAAATGGCATTTAGGAGGGGGTGTTTTTAAGTCATCACAAGAGGAAGGTAGCACCCCCCCCCCCGTCCATATCCACCCCAAACCCAGCTCTCCATGGACTCTCTGTTCCTACACTTCTGAGTCCTCAGCACAGCTACATTTCCAAGTTTCTTCCCGTCACAGTTTCCATTAGGGCCATAAACCAAATGGGCTAATAAAATGCAAGGGGGCACCTGGCTCTCCAGCCAGATGTTCTGGGACATGCATGTGTCTACCTGCTCCGTGGCCACATGAATGTTTTTCCCTCTCACAGAAAAAGCTCGGGGCCGCACCAATTTGCTGATGACCTTTTTCTGAGTCCCTGCCTGTTTTGGAGGGTGAGCAGTACTTGGTTCCACTGGCAAAGAAGAGTGGGGTGAGTGTGGCCACCCCTGTGTCTGGGCAGGAGCGCTTGGCAGGACCAGGCCCGAGGGTGTCTGGGTTCCCTGAAGTGGCGGGTCCCTCAAGGGGCTGTCTGACAGGTAATAGGTCTCCCTCTTAAGTGACTTGGGGCTTTTCTTCATTTCCTTTTCTTTCTCAAATAGGCTTATTTTTAATTTTGATTCCTGTATAAATCTTTCCACGCCCTGGCTCCAAAGGTCTTCAGCTGTGACATCTTGGGCGGCCTTGGTTTTGCTCTTGCTTTCTATCTGAAAGGCCAATAAGTGAGCTTCTTTATACACTTCCACAAATTTTTCCCCAGGGAGAGGACTCCAGGTGAAGTGACTTTCCGAGGCTGGCAAAAGACGCTCTTCGGGAATGTGATGATTTAATTCCAAGCTGGCAGCAACGCATCTTTCTTTATGCCCAACGGGTCCAAAGAAGACTTCATCATCTTCATTTGCACTGTTTTAAATAAAAGGATTATTAATGACAATGGCATTTAAATGAAAGACTTTACTGAATGTGATTAAACCCAAGGCAAGGGAAGAAAACTCATCTGTTTACCTTGAAGAGGACAATGAAAGATCGAAGTCAAATTTTTCATCAGCTAAGAGAAGAATGTCTGGGGGGAAAAAGTCCAGCATTATTTGAGGTTTGGAGCTGACAAAGAGAAAACATCACCAGTCCCTATAGCTATAAAAACAATGACAATATTTCACTCTCCAAAGTGTACCTTATCATTATTTTAACAGTCACATTATCATAGAGGACTCTAGATTATCAAATTTTTTTGTTTTCTTTTTAAAAAAGCATCAGCAATTCTGTGTTTGCTAAGCTGACCCAAAAGTTCAAGTCCTTACCTTTAAGATATAATCTAAAATGCATTCACCAAGTCATTCAACTAGTTTTTCAAGGCTAGATAAGATATAGACCATTTCCAAAAGACCATCTGCTTCAGGTCCCCCAGAATTAAATTCCTTGCTTATAGGGGCGCCTGGGTGGCTCAGTCGTTAGGCGTCTGCCTTCGGCTCGGGTCATGATCCCCGGGTCCGGGGATCGAGCCCCATGTCGAACCCTGTGTCAGGGTCCCTGCTCGGCAGGGAGCCTGCTTCTCCCTCTCCCACTCCCCCTGCTTGTGTTCCCTCTCTTGCTGTGTCTCTCTCTGTCAAATAAATAAATAAAATCTTAAAAAAAAAAAATTCCTTGCTTACAAACTACATAACACCTACTCTTCTTTCAAAAACAAATTCAGTATTATTCAAATGCACCGTTGGGACTCCATCCGTATTTGCTGACGACCATCTCTTCTTAGAGCCCACCTTGAAACCCCAGACAAAACTGCGTTTTGTACCCCCCATCCACACTTTCACCATATAGTTCCTTCACCAGCCCGGCCTGTAAGCCTGACTCCCTCTAACAACCTCAGGCTCCAAGTTAGTGGATCTCTTTCCTGGGCAACTGCTTCCCCCCCAGCTCTCACACCCCATCCACCCCCATTCCTCCCTAGGGCCTCCCCACATCACCTAGACCTGACCTCTGTCACTCTACTGCCTTGCTGTTCTGTAATGTCCCTTTACCCTTCTGGGCTCCAACTAGATTGTAAGCTCCTCCAAGCCAGAAAATGTCTAATGCTCTCACAAATTCCCTTACATCCAGCTAAGGGCCTGGACACTTAGCAAATAATTATCGAAATGCGCTGAGCGGGTATTTCCATACTATCAAGTTTATACAGCACTTTTGCAAATCACTTATTTGATCCTACAAAACAATGCAGCATGCTTATTAAAATTATAAAAATTTAAAATATACTAATATCCTAATTAGGTCCTAATTAGTCACTTCAATTATGCTTAATTACCCAATCAAGGAAAAGGTAAAAGCACAAATGCACAAATGAAATAAAAAGAAATAACCAGAGAGAGAGGAAATTAAAAGATTCATAAGCCAGCCTGCTCAACTCCATGCCCATAAACGTAAGAACTTGGCTGAAATGCCTAATTTTCTAGAAAACACTATTTTTTGTATTTAAATTACTTAAGTGGATTTATTTATAAAACGGACTCCAGAAGAGAGGGGAAAAAATCTTAATAGTTCAATTATCATAAAATAACTGCACAAATTTATTCAAGAGCTATTGTCCTCAAAAGAGCACAAGAGACAGATAATTCTGTCAAGTCTTTCAAGAATGTATCATTCCAAAATTATTTAGATTGCTCCACAGGATAGAAAAAAGAAACCTTTCAACTTAACTTGTATGAAGCAAGCATAACCATACCCCAAAGCTCTAGAGTTAGCTCAGTAAAGAAAGCTACAGACCAGGCTCATAACATACAAATCCTAAATAGGAATATTAGGTAACAGAATCCACCAACACATTAAAAGAAAAAGAAGAATATATCATGACTAGGTGAAGTTTGTTTCAGGACTTCAGGGCTGTAGGATGGTTTAATTTTACACAATCTAGTAACATGATTGTTATATTACTAGATCTAAAAGGAAAGCCCTACACCATGTCCATCTATGCTAATAAGACATATGAAAAAATGTAAAATACCTTGTTGACCTTAAAAGCTCTTCATAAAAAGCAATAGATATATAATAGATACATTTGATCATACAAGGAAGTATCTCTCTCCAGCCAAAAGCCAAAATTAGGTTTAATGGGATGCTATCAGAAGCATTCCTTCTAAAGCCAGGAGCAAATATACTTTATCAGTCAGGACAGGCTAACTTATGCTGAAGTAACAAACAAGCCCCGAATCTCAAGTGGTGTATTTCTCACTCAAACTCTGTATCTGCTGGGGCTTGGGCCCTGCTCCACGTCCTCCTCACTGCAGAACACAGGATGATGGAGCCTGGCCTTTGTGCTAAAGAAAGGGGAAACAGCAAATTCCATACTAGTTCTTAAAGACCTAGAAGTGACACATATCACAGCATTCCCATTTCACTGGCCACCTTGCAAGTCACTTGAGCCGAATCCAACTTTAAGTGGGCAGACAAGTACAATTATACCATGTACTCAAGAGGAAAAAAAAAAAAGTAGAAAAGAGGGAAAAAAACAGTGGAAATATTGATAAACAGCACCAAAACTACCACCTATATGTAAATTAACTCGCAAACCAGCATGAGGCTTAATGGAAATCTAAAGAGGAAATTTCATGAAAGCCGGGCACATGGCCATGATGTCTGCTCTCACGACAGGCCTGTTCTGGGTACACTAACCAATACAATCAGACAAAGGAAAGGATCTGGAGATAAAAGTATCACAGTGCACAGATGCTATGATTACAGACACAAGAAAATCAAATAAATACTGTTACAAGTAGTGAAAGGATAAAAGCACGTGCCTGAGGACAAAATTATCACACAGTAATCGATAGCATTCATATCTACAAAGAACAGTTTGAAGATATGATGGAAAAAAAGACCTCGTTACAATAGCAGCAAAAACCACTAAATACCCGTGAATAAACCTAACAAATACGCAAGACAGATATAAAGAAAACTTAGTATAACGTAAAAGTAGCACATCAAATTAAAGGGGGAAATGGTGTATTCAAAAAGGAAAATACATATAAAAGGAAAAAGAAGGGGCGCCTGTGTGGCTCAGTGGGTTGAGCGACTGACTTTTGATTTCAGCTCAGGTCGTGATCTCAGGGTTGTGAGCTTGAGTCCCACATCGGGCTCCGTGCTCAATGCATGCGGAGTCTGTTTGAGATTCTCTCGCTCCCTCCCTCTCCCCTCATTCATGCGCACGCTCTCGTGCGTGCTCTCTCTCTCTCTCTCAAAATAGATAAATAAATCTTAAAAAAAGAAAAAAGGAACAAGAAGAAACCATGAAGAAATTATTTTATAACCTGGAGACAAGAGGTTTAACTGTGAGACCAAACTGGAAGCCATAAAAGACTAATAATACAGTATGTAAAAAAACATTTTAAATCTGCATGGCAACAATCACCATGAGCAAAGTTAAAGAAACATTAAGCAGGGGAAAAAGTATTCGCAGGTCACATCTCAAAAGGCTCATTTTTTTTTTTTTTTTAAAGATTTTATTTATTTGACAGAGAGAGACACAGCGAGAGAGGGAACACAAGCAGGGGGAGTGGGAGAGGGAGAAGCCGGCTCCTGGCTGAGCAGGGAGCCTGATGCGGGGCTCGATCCCAGGACCCTGGGACCATGACCTGAGCTGAAGGCAGATGCTTAACCACTGAGCCACCCAGGCGCCCCTCAAAGGGCTCGTTTATGAACATTGCCTACAAACTGCTAAGAAAACAACCAATGATGTAATGGAAGAACGGACAAATGACAGGAACAGATAAAATAACTGATAAAATAAAACAAAACAAAAATAACCCCGAGATTCCACTTTTCACCTATGAGGTTGTCAAAAATCACAGTTTGGTAAAACATGCTCGAGGCTGTGGGGAACAAGACAATTCACATAGCGCTCAGGAAGGCGTCACCAGGTGGCCTGGCAGCACCTACAAAATAAGAGATGCACGTGTCCTCCCGCCCAGCAAGAAGACTGTGTGCGGACATCCCACAGTCACAGTGATGCTCGCTTCAGCAGCATCTGAAAAAGCAAGACACTGGACACAAACGAACGTGCACCCACAGCAGATGGGAGAAATTACAGCCCCCCTCTCCTTCCACCCCCCCCCCAAGATGGACCACTACCTAGGTACAAAAGAGAACAGCAGGGGCGCCTGGGTGGCTCAGTTGGTTAAGTGTCTGCCTTTGGCTCAGGTCATGACCCCAGGGTCCTGGGATAGAGCCCCACATCGGGCTCCCTGCTCAGCAGGGAGTCTGCTTCTCCCTCTCCCTCTGCCTGCCGCTCTTTCTGCTTGTGCTCTCTCTCTGTCAAATAAATAAATAAAATCTTAAAAAAAAAAAGAAAGAGAACAGCAATAGTGCATGCGTTGATATACAAAGATCATCAAGATAAATTGGTGCCAAAAGCAAGATGCAGCAAAGGGTTCCATCTGCTATAAAAAAAAAAAGGGGCAATCAGCTAACAATGTACACATACGGTTTGCTCTTGCACAGATCAGGTCTGGAAGATCAAAGAGACCAAAGACATTGGTGGCCTTTGGAGGGGCAGCTGGGTGGCTGAGGGAGAGGCTGCGGGAAGTGGAAACAGGTAGGGTCAGATCCTGGAGGGTCTGCAAGCCATGGCAAGGAGCTTCTATTTTATCCAAAGTGCTACAGAAAGCTATGGAAGGTTTTAAGCACAAGGGTTACGATCTAACTTGTGTTTTTAAAAGGTTACCCTGGCTGCTGTGTAGACTGTATCAGAAAGGAAAAAACAGTGTCTACTGAAATCACAAATGCACACATTGGCCAAAGTGAAAAATGCACAAGGAGGTGGAGGTGAGCTAATGGGGCTGAGGCAAAAGGTGGTGGCATCTGGGTGGAGTTGGAAAGAGATAGATGGATCCAAATATATTCTGAAGGTGGAAATAGCAGTAAAGGATGACTGAATGAACCTGGCTGCTTCACAACTTAGACAGCTAGGTAAATGGAGGGGCCATTTACTTCCATGAGAGAACAAAGAGCAGGCTAAGAATGGGGTGGGAGGGGGAGCACATTGAGTTTGAAGTGCAAGACATTCAGGTGAAGATGCCAAAGAGGCAGGTGGATATAGGAATCCAGAGCTCTGGGGAAAGACTGTGCTGGAGACAAAATGTGGGCACCACTACAAAGCAGATTGAGTTTAAAGCCATGGGAACATCTGAGGGCCCCTGGGGTATGGGGGATACAAAGAGACCCTAGACCAAGTCCTGGGTAAGATTAGCTTCAGAAGACAACAGAGGAAGAGGAGCCTGCAAAGAGATGGAAAAACCAGCCAGAGAGGTGGAAGGATTTCTATTTGTATGTCAATGATGAGCATGAGCAAATGGACAGGCACAAAGTAAGGCTACGAAGGGGGGCTGGGGGTGTGACAGAGGGGTGAAGTCCTCAAGAGCAGCCAGCGGGAATTCTGCACGCACATGGAAGGGACTGGTATTTGAAAGTGAGGACACAGGCAGGAGGGAGAAGGGGGTGCAGCGGCAAATACCTTTCCAGATTCAACGAAGAAGTGATGAAACCGGCATGTCCCTAGGACCGTTTTAGCAGAATGGACTGTCAAGGATACCCAGTCCACCGGCCTCACACGGATGTTGTGAGGAGCAAAGGATACAAGGATGTCGACACGCTTCAGGAGAAAAATAAGAAGGTACGGCCCTTCACTCATCTCCTGAGGCTGAATTCTCACCCCGACGCTCGAGCCAGACAGGGACAGAACAAGACAGGAAAGTCACAAAGCTTCTAAGCAAACCTTAGCGAACAGAGACCAGCAATGAATAAGAGAGGAAACATCCAGTTCGATCCCACCCGTATCTGAGTGCCTACAGAGGGCCAGGCAGTGTTCCCGGCACTGGGTACACACAGCGAGCCGGACTGGAAAGAATCCCTGCTGTGACGGAAATCTGAAGCTGGGGGGACGGGAGGCAGAAAACCGAAAACTAAAGACGCTGGATGGACGCAAGCCCCTTGAAGACAGGGACCATGAGCTTCACTGGCGCAGGGGGCGCGGAATAAACACGGGACTAAGTTCTCCCAGAAGCATTAAGTCGACCTGCATCTTCACCGAGCTCCCTGAACCCCGGCGCTGCAGCGACAAGGACGTACCACTCTCCTTGGGGACATCCATCTCTGCTTCTCCTGGCTGGCTGGCTGGCTGGCTGGCTGGCTGAAGGCGCGTCCTCCTTCCACGGCGAGCGCTGCCAGGGAGTCTGCGGAGAGGACGGGTCAGCGGGTGAGCAGGGCCGGGGCCCAGGCCCCCGGCTCCGTCACTCCCCGGTGCCGACGGGGCAGAGGGGGCGGGCGGCCGCGGCCAGGTCAGGGAGGCGAGCGGCGGCCGGAGGCCACGGGAGGCGCCGCCGAGACCCCCCGCGCCGCGCCGCCCGAGAACGCGCGCCCACGGGCCGGGAGCTCCGGGGGCCTGGTCGGGACTGTCCTCCGCGGCCGCGCACAACGGAATTCCCCGCGCTCGGGACAGCCCCCACCTTCCGCGCGAGTGGACCCCGGCCGAGCCCCCGCGGCCCTCACCGAGCGACGGCGACACCCGGCGGCCGCGCCCCGGCCTGGGATTTAAACGCGGCGCGGCGGGCGCGGCGCGGCCGCCGATTGGCCGGTTTGAAGGCGCTCCGCAGCGTCGCCGCGCCCGGTGCATCCTGGGGGCTGGGGGCGGAGCCGCCTGGAGGAGGAGGAGGAGCGCGGCGCCCGTGCGCACGGCCCCCGCGCGCAGGTGGGCTGAGCAAGCCCGGGCTCCGCCCCGCGCCCGCGGCGGTCTGCAGAGGCCCTGGGGGCTTACTGGCGGCGCCGTGCTGTGTCCTGGCATCCCGGCCTCAGGGTGGCTGCGCGTGCCAAGGACGAAGTTCCGACCCCAGCTTTTTATCTGTAAACACAGAGGCTTCAGTTGCTAGCGTAGACGTTGATGGGACGACCAAACGAAATAAGTGCACCTGTCTGCTTTGTAAAGCAGTACGCCCCCGTTGCCAATACCGTAAGAAGACCCGGACCCTGCCCGGACCAGCGCACAGGGCGACGCCGGTTTGCGCCCTTGCAGCAGGAGAAGCTGAGCGGTGGCGGGGGGCAGTGATGAGGGCCTGAGCATGGCCAGAGGTGTGGCGGAAGCTTGCCCTGGGCCTTAGAGCCGCTGGGGACCTGGATTTGTTCTGAGGGCAAGATGGGGGGGCGGGTTGAAGGGGTGCGCAGGTCCGGTGGCCAGGTGATGGGGTCCGCATGGGAGAATGCACACGTTGGAACAAGATTCCGGATCTGAGCGACACGGAGGACTGACTGGTGAATAGGTCAATCAGCGGCAGCTTGAGATCGACCTCACTTGAACCTTGGACTGTGAACCAGGTATAAATAATACCCACCTCGTGGCCTGGAGTCTGAAATGAGGGGCTCCGTTCAGGACACAGTGTCATGAAGCCGTTGCTCTAGGTATCTGGGACTGGTGGTTGTAGGAGGATGTGGGAAGGAGGAGGCTGGGATGCCCCATACAGTGCTCTGGGAAGGTCTGAACTCCAGAGGGAGAGCACCATTTTCAGGGACAATAATGAGCTATTTATTTGGGGCAGGTTGGGTGGAGAGCTGTCCAGGGGGCAGCCATCCCGGGCCCAGGACCTATGCCAAGAAGTATGCCAAGAAGCCTTCTATGCTGGCTGGCATCTGGACTCCCGTGTCTCTGGTTTCACGCCATCCACACCAATCACCCCATGTTGTTGTGGTCCCTCTCCACTTCTGCTCCTGAGTCCAGCTCCCCATGAGACTGTGAGCCTCTAAAAGGCAGGGTGGGGTCTCCATTATGTGATGTCCCCCAGCCTTACACAGCCCAGGGATGGGCCCCAGGCAAGAGCTGAGAGAGTGGGAGCTGGATATTGAAGGGGCAGGAGGTGGGGGAGAGGGTCTGGGGGGAATCTAGCAGCTTGGAAAGAGCCCAGCCTACCCTCTGCATCCCCTTTGTCTTGTCCTGGCATCCCCAACGCCTCTTTTCTATCAAAGGGCTCCCTCTGTAGCCTTTGGCTTTCCACTGCACTTGGATGTGCTGGGTCCATTGGACCCTGCCTTTCCCACCTGAGTCTCCGTCCATGGGGTCTCTTCTGAATTCCATTGTCTTTGGGGCTTTTTTTAAGAGTTATTTATTTGCGAGAGGGAGAGAGTGAGCACAAGCAGGAGGGAGAGAATCTCAAGCAGACTCTATGCTGAGCACAGCCTGACGTGGGGCTCCATCTCACAGCCCTAAGATCATGACCCGAGCTGAAAACAAGAGTCGAACCCCTAACCAACTGTGCCACCCAGGTGCCCCATGAGTTGTCTTTTGCTCAGGTTCCTGCTTAACTAGAGAAGAAAGGTGGTGCCAGGCAGACCCAGCAGCAGGTATCCGTCAAGAGCCTTTGGGCTGTAAGAAACAGAAAACCAGCTTCAGGCTGGCTTTAGAAAGAGAATTTACTGGCTCCAGGAACAAGGAAGTCCTGAAAAGAGGGGCTCAAAGGAGGGCACTGGGTTAGGTCATCTCCCAGCGGCCTCTCTCGGGTCCTGCTCACCCTCGATCAGGCTGGCTTTACTGGGCCCCCCCAGCCCGGGAGCTCCAGGCTTCCCTCCACTTAGCAGGGCCTCCTGAAGACAGCAGCCGGTTTGGTGGTACCCATGCCCCATCGATGGTCCAAAGGCCTGTGCTTGCCTGACTTAATCATAGGGCAACTGCAACAGGAGCTGGGGGGGAGGGGGGCAGGTATCGGCCTGGGTCCCCACAGCCCTATGGATGTTGCTGGGGGTGAGGGTCCCCGACACCCACTCCCAATGCTCCTCTCCCTCTATCCTGTCAGCACGTAGGAGGTGCTCAGTATCTGCATTGATTATGAATAACTTGTTGCTGTTAACTGAACAGTACCTTCATCCGGCTGTCCTATCATGGGCCTGCTCATCATAGATTTGTTTCTTCCTCCCCCCAATTTATGCCACCCTTCATGAGTTCATTCAGTAACGTCCTCTGACAGGTCCTCAGTGCAGGCCGTGTGCTGGGTGATGCTGGGACCAGATGCCATCCCTGACCTGAGGTGACAGCAGGAGAGAAAAGGGCAATAGCAAACACAGGTGCCAAGGGCTGGGGGGCAGAGGGGGCACCCTCACCAGCCTGCAGTGCTCAACAGGAGGGCTTCCCAGAGGAGGGAACGGGGTTCCTGCTTCCCTGGCCAAGTTGTGCCTTCCTTGGAACCAGGAGAGGGAAGGGCAGATGGAGTGTGAGCAGGCAGCAGGAGGGGACAGCTCAGGATGGGCAGGCAAGCTCCCCTCTGGCATGTGTCCCTAACTCCTGGGTAGAGACAGCACCTCTCTCGAAATCCTATTGTAATTACCCATTTTCTTGACTCACTGCCCCGCCACCACTCCCAAGTTCAAGGAGAAGCCGGTCTCCTCAGGACCCAGCCCAGGCCTGGCACGTGGGAGATGATGAAAGATGCCACCAGCAACCGTCAGTCAAAGGAACCAATTAACTGATTTATTTTAATCTCAAAAACTTGTCTAATCAATTTGGAGGCCTCCACTGCCCCCTGCCTGAGTCCCTACCTAATTTCAGCTACACTGACAGAACCTGAGAAACATGTAGGGGCTGAGATCGCCTCTCACGAGGGCATGCCAGGGAAATCAGCAGCTTGCTCAGGACTGTCATTGGGACCAGGTTAAGAAGATGGGGAAATAGAAAACTGGCTCAGATCTCAGTAAAGCTCCATGCCACAGTACTTTGGTTTTTGCCACAACAGGGCGACCCTGAGCTCAATCCACACCCCCCAGAAAGTGTGCCCGCCTAGTGCATGTGCACTCGTGTGATTAAAGTCATAGTTGACAAAGGAAACCACATACCCGAGGTTCCCTTAATCGGCATCATCAAAGCCCCCCAGGGAAGCTCGCAGACCTCTCCAGAGACAGCAGAAGGCCACCCCATATGCCTGTGCTTCTTTGGGGGCAGTGGGTGCAGCAGCTGGGGGATCCAAGGTGAATCTCAGCAGGGCCTCTGCTAGCTGTGACCCTGGGCAAGTCGCTTCCCCCCATGGGTGCTCTCACCCAAAAGATGGGACAACATATCCAGAATATGATGGGGAAGACAAAAGGAGAGGGTTTATCCCAGGGGCAGCCTCGGGGGGAGGACTCCCCTCCCCCAGCTGAGCCAGCCCCCAGCCAACCCTGCCTTCTAACTCTTGAACACCAGGAGGTGTAAGAGTTCCCCGGGAGAACAGTTTGCTAGGCAAGTGGTAATAGCACTGACCACATCGGTTCTAACTGCTCGTAACTGTACCTTGACCCTTAAGAAGGATGACAAGATTCTGAATCATGTCTAAAATTGATCTGTGTCCCTGCTTCCGGTAACACTGCTGGTTACAGGGCTTTCTGCTTAAAGCTGCAAATTACTCAACAGCCCTAACTAACAGGCTCTAGCTGCTTTGAACCCTGGCAGTCAGGGGGCAGCTGATCTGACGCTGGGGAGGGGGCCAGGCCCAGTTCACTGCAGGAGGTGGACAGCAGCGGCCTTTCGGATGAGCCGCTGGGTCAGGGGTGAGTTGGGTTTCAATGCGTCACGTTCCATCAGAAGGCTCCTGTGGAAACAGGGACAGGGTCTGTGGTGGAACTTCATAGAAGGATGTGGGGCCCTGTGGTCCCTGGGCCCCAAGGCGGACAGGAAACTCGGGCTGGGGCTGAGATGGGCAGAGAGGGGACAGCATCACTGCAGAGGGGACAGGAGGGACGGAGCCCAACAGCAGGAAAGCTGGGCTGGGCAGGAGGACCAGGGAGAAGGCAGAGCGCTGGGGGGGTGGGGAGTGGTCAAGGATGAGAAGGCAGGGACTCCAGTGCATCACCAGGATGTCCAGTGTTTGGAGAACATGTCGACACTGTCCCCAAGACACATAACTGGGTGAGCACATAACTGTGGCCTCATCTGCCTCGGGAAGCTGGGGGCCCATCCACCCACCAGACAAGAGGGTAGAGCCTGTCTAAGGGGGTCAGGGGAAGCCACGCCTGAAGCTGTCTCGGAAGGTAAGTGGCAGGAGACAAGGTATGGAGAAACCTAAGTTTAAACCAAGCTAGTATTGTTTAAGGCAAAGACCCCAAACAACTGACAACAGTGATTCTGTGGGGTGAGGGTGGGGTTAATGGGCTAGGCCGCACTTGGGGCGGGGACACGACGGACGGGGCGCAGGGTTTCCACCTTGGAGGGGAGGGGAGGGGAGTGCACTGCCTGTCAGCCCGACAGGAGCAGGTTCCCCTCTGGGGTCAGCATCTGCTCCAGGCTGCCTGCAGGGCATGTTGTCCCCCCAGCACCCCCACGGGCAGACCGCCCAGCTCGGAGGGTATCCTCCACCCCCCATGGCATGTCCTCACCCTGCGCCTGCCCCAGCTCCTCTGCTCCTGCCCTCGGCCAGCCTCTCTCCAAAGGGCCCCACCTTTCCTGCCAGCCTGAGATGCCAACTCACACCCACACCGTGGCCTGGAGCTCTCCAAGCGATGTGACCACTGAAGAAAGGTGTGTAGCTTCTACGTATGGCCATGGAGGGGTGAACAGCGAGGGGTGTGTGTCCAAGATGCTTCAGAGTTTCGACCAATTCTAGAGCATCCAGAGCGTGCACACCTGTATCATTAATGCTGAGAACACCTGCACTGCTCAGTTTGGAGATGCTTTTGGGGCAGCTGGGTCTCACGCAGCATGGACCCCCTGAGCCTGCACTTAGACCCTGGGCCTTTCCACCTGGCCTCCAGGGCTCAGCCAAGGGCCACCCCGGACTTCACTGGGTCTCCCGACCCCTTTTCTACCCACCAGGCACTCCGCAGCCCTTCCCTTCCCCTTTTCCCATTGGTGTTCCAGTGGGGTGCAGGGGACCCATGAGGAGGGGTCCTGTCTCACCCCCAGAGCACGAGGCAGCACAGAACCCAGCTGCCCCATGCAGGGCAAGATGAGCCGGGGTGTGGGAGCTCCCAGGCTGCTGGCAAGGGCTGGGCTTTTCAGGGCTTTCTATTTGAGGTGCCCCTGCCCCAACATCCCTAACCCTCCAGGTCCTCCTCCTAACCAGACCACTGGACCTGGTCAAATCTACTGGTTTTCAGGCTTCCTCTCAACTCTCTCTTCTTTAGGGCACCCTCCCTCCCTGAATCCCAACCAGCTCAGCCTCCACCACAGCCTCCAGAGCAGCATGCCCTGCCCACCCCCATGGCAGGTTGTGTGTGTGTGTGTGTGTGTGTGAGAGAGAGAGATAGCTGCTCGTGTTCCCACGTGAGAGGTAAGCTCCACACGCCAGGCGCTGGGTCTGCCTGCCCCTCCCCCACGTCCTGGGGCCCAGCGCGCAGCCGGTAAGAAAGGGCGACCCCGGCAGAGGGTGCAGCACGTGCAAAGGCCCAGGCCCCTGAAGGAGCAGGACGTCTTGGGTAACTATAGCTCAGCATGGCGAGACAGGGGAGGGCCGGGGTGGGGGGCAGGAGGACAGACCTGGAGTGGGGTGGACCCCGGTAGTCAAGTCAAGATGCTAACAGGGAAAACCAAGCACCCCATAGTCTCACGTCCTCACAGCCTCAAAGGTGGGAAGCACCTCAGGCAGAGGGAGGTGGGAGCCTCAGGGCAGGCTGGAAGCCCGTGGGGAAACCGCCGCCAGAGAGGGGCAGCTCTGCTCAGAGATGTCCCCAAGCCCGGCATGGGTGTGAGCGGGGAACTCACCGCGCCACGTTCTTGTGGACGCCTGACGTGCAGTTCAAGGCTGCGTGGATCAGCAGCTGGTTGAAGATGTCTCTCTGAAAGGTCAGTAGGACAGGTTGGGCTCCTGTAACGTGCGATGATGAGGGATGGGAGCCCCCATCCCACTGCGGGCAGGCCTGTTCTCAGGGGCAAACTTCCTGGGGGTGCGAAAGATGAGGACACCCCCACACCTGAGCACCGGCCCCGAGAGAGACTGCTGGACTCAGGCCTTCGTGCTCCAGCCACGTTGTGGCCTGAGGCCGGGGGCCCACCTGCGCGTTGCTGCCTCCAATCTGGACGATCCGGTAGCGGATGGGCAGGAGCAGTTCCAGCACGCGGTCAGGGTTCCCGTTCTCGGCCTCCACCAGGGCCTGGCACAGGGGCAGCCCCACATCACGGGCCAGGAGGTGCTGGTGGTTCTCCCCGGGGGCCCTGCCAGCCGAGAAGATGCCCTCGGTCACCTGCAGGGCCCCTCACACTGCCCGAAGGCATACCTGCCTCCCTGCGGGACTTGGGCTTCCCGGAGGGAACGGACTGCTCTTCCTCCCCCTGGCGCCTGGCCCTGTGCCCAACACGGCAGGTGCTTTGGTCAGGTGAGCTGGCAGGAGAGAAGCAGCCAGGAAGGGGAGAGAACAGGGTTCTCTCGACCCCTTCAACAGGGTTGAATGGTGCTGTTCCCCTGGCCTCAGGCAGATCCCCCAACGTCTGGCCTCAGTTTGCTCATCTGTAAAGGGTGGGTAACCATGCCAACCTCACAGGGCTCAGGACTGCACACAGTGCAGGTAAAGGCCTGGCTGGAGTTGACCCCCACACTGGGGCAGGTGGTTGTCGCCGCCCATGTCTGCCTGCTTGCCCGCACGGGTGGGTCGTGGGGACTGCAGGCAACAGCCTGCTCCAGGCCTGTCTTAAAAGCAAGAATCAAATACTGGAGTGCTTGGCGGGCTCCCCAGGCCTTCCCTATGCCGAAATGACCACCGCCGAACCGCGGACCCTTCACCTGAAGCTGCCTCCCCGGCCAAGGCCCATGGATCCTGCAGCACAGCTCTGGGAGGGGCAGGCGGGCAGGTGGCTGGGGTGGTGGCCAGCTCAAGCAAGGCCCCCAGGACAGACCACCAGGGGTCATGGCTTCCACAGCTCCAGCCCTCCAGCGGGGAGACGAGGGGCGGCTGCCTCCCTGGTGGCCCATGCCGCGGAGGACCCTGCCTCTCCGGTCTCCCTCCGGCCCCTCCTGTGATTGAAACCGGCTCCCACCAATGCCAGGGAGCTGTGTGACCACGTCATCGCACGTCCCTCTCCTACCAGCCTGCCTCGGCAGACTCTGTCCCCAATTGGCAGATGAGAAGACTGAGGCTCAGAGCAGAGAAGCACTTTGTCCGGGATCTCAGGTGGGAAGCAGCAGGGCTTTCTGGTTCCAAGCCTCACCGTGCCCCTCGTGGGAGGCTGCACCCACGACACTGAGGCTCCCACCCCCAGCCGGGGGATGGGGAGGCGACTCTGTCTCTTAGGGGAACAACCGTGCCCTTGCAGGATATAACACGGGGGCATACACCCCTGTGGGGCGCCTGTGTGGCAAGAGCCCTCCACGGGCGTCCCCGCGGCTGCGCTCACCAGCGGGGCCTCCACCCCCAGCCTCCCTGGCAGGTCAGGGCAGGGACGGAGCAGACCTCGGCCCACCCCCAGCACCCCGCCACGGCCCCCCCAGCAGGGCCCTGGCCCCTCCACATACTCGCTGGCGTCCTGCAGGGTGGTCAGGAGCTCCTGCGTGGTCTGGGGGTCCCGAGCTCCCAGGGATGCCATCAGGAAGTGTGCGTCGTTGAACAGCAGGATGTGGTCACGGCTGTGCTTCTGGGTCACAGGCAGGATGTCCTGCCACCGCTCACCCACGGACACCCCTGAGGACACGGGGAAGAAACCCGAAGGCCTGCATCCTGTGTGCACGTGTCCTGTGCACGGGCCCCCTGAACCCCACGCCCCACAGAGGCCCGTGTTCCAGCTGAGGAGGCTGGCAGGTGGCCCCTGGCCTCACGCTGAGGCCTTTGAGCCCAGTTTATGTTAACTTTGTTCAATTATAAACACAACAGATGCATACGGTAGAAAACAAATTAAAAAAAGACTATTGAAGGGTATTGAAGTTTCTGGCCCCTTTGACGAACCCCAAAACCATTTTTAAAATTCTTCCCGGAATTACCGTTGGCATGGCACCTGATACCTAACAGGTGCTCGATAAAACTCCACGGAGTTAATAAATAACATTCTCTCACATGTGTGTCTAGATTTCTCGGCGCTAGGGACACAGTCCCTACTTCTGTTCTGCTCCCCACGCCCCCCACCCGCTTCCTGTCCCTCCTGATTCCTCAAAGGGACTGCCTTCTTCCTACTTCTCAGGGGCACCCCCCGCAGTAGAGACGTTGCCCTTGACCTCTGTCTCTCAGCCCATCAAATCGGACAGGTCTCTTGAGTCTCCACTCTGGATGGCGAGGGAGCGAGCAGCCTTTCCCTTCCCTCCATGTGTCCCTGGCACCACCACTGTGCCTCCCAGCTTCTGTCCCTCCAAGCCTCCCCCGACGTGCCCGGAGGCTCGAGGCTTCAGGGTCCCTGGAGAGTTCCAGGCAGCTTTACACTCTGCCTCTGCAGATGGAGGGTTCACTGGGTCTCAGGGTCAACAGGATTCCACCTTTCTTCCAGGCCCCTCAACAAACAGCCCAGCTTTCAATTTTGCAGCCCCACCACTTGAACACCATGAGCTGGCCCAGAAAGTGTGGGCCTCGGCCTACCTGAGCTCAG